TTTTCATAGCAATAATACATCTGCTGATGTCTATCTTTCGATTCTCAAAGACAGTGAGTTGCTCGGCTATGCTGATGTCAATCTTTTAATTCCCAAAGACAGTATTTGTTGCTCGGGATTTTCTTTTATATTAAATTTAGACCAAAATTAGTAAACCACAAATCATTAATATTTTACAGAATTGCGAGTTGTTTACAGCTTAATGAGCTTTTTTTCATGATTTATGCTAATGAGCTTTTGTCAAAATAAACCTTTGATGCGATGGAATTAAAATTTCATGATTCTGTCGAGCATTAATAAATTTTAATGAGTTTTGCGCTTTTCATTTTATGTTTTTGAAAGGATTTTAAAATTTAAATTCAACGTGGATGTTCCTCAAATTAGTTTTGAAAAACTTTTAAAGCTGAAAAAGCTTTCATGATCCTATGATGTCAACTCCCTATCTCAATAACTTTTGTTTATCTGCTTCCATAGATAATTGAATGCGACCCTACATGTCAAATAAAAGAAAATATTCCTCAGGAAATATGAAAATACGCTCAATAAAATGTAAATAATTTCAATTTATTTTCTTACAGTCATGACAAAAACAAGACGGATTTAGATGATTAAGAAGAAGACAAGTTTTTACTTCTCGGAAGACAAAAAAGGGACTCAAATTTCACATCTTGTTTTATTTGCTTACGAAATTCATGAGTTTTATTTTACTGTCTCTGATGCTTGCTGTGGAGATGCAATAACAACTATGTTAATATGACATAAAATAATGTGACCTTCAAAACTTTCTAGCTATTGAAATTGCTGGAAGATGATAAGCATTATTTCTTTTTTATTACTGTCAAGTTTAGATGCTGTTGGATGTTCTTAGATAAGTCTGATTTATATGAAATTTGTAGATTAAAACATACAACAAGTTGCGACCTTGAAGAATGGCATTGACTTGTATCTTGCTCATATCATGAAGAAGGTTTCTACCAGGATTGCGATACATGGACCTGTGCACAGTTGAGAACCGTACAATTTCTTGATAATTTATAAGGTTTTTTCTATTAAAACCATACAAATTCTAATAAAACCGCACAAATTATCAAGATATTGTACGGTTCTCACCTGTGCACAGGTGGCTGTATTGCAACCCTGGTTTCTACAACAAAACAGTTTCTCAACTTTAGATTAGAATTTCAATGAAATTGTTAATAAAGGTTGAAGACCCCTGAAAACTCACAATAATTTGCTTCCTTATTTCATAGACCTGACGTCTTCGAAACGTGCAATATTAGCTCACCATATGTACATTCTCGTCTGATTCGAATAACTTTCCTGGCACTATGCCTAGATAAATCAATGAATGAATACAAATAAAAAATTCGTTCACGTTTTTTCAATTCAGATTTTTTTTTATTGATGCAGATTTTCTTGAATTTATAAATTAGCAATTTTTTTCATCATTTTTAAACATTTTAAATACAAAATAAATTTTCATTTAACAACAATTTATAAATCATTTTTCATTTCCATTTTCAATTTCTTTGCTATCTACATATTTTTTTGACTATCTTGACTGTGTAGACAAATGGACGTTGAAATGACGGCAAAATCTTATTTTGGAACAAGAAAAAAATAATATTGTGACTGTTCCGATATTCGACAAGCTAGTCATGAACAGATTGTACGTGTCAGTACTTTACTAATGAAAATTTACGAATTGAAAATTCTTGAGAGGCTTAGCAGCATGTTTAAATTTAAATTTCAATAAATATTCATTTCAATATTCCATTTGGCTACCTAAAATCGATTCCTTTCGTGTAAAATATCGACCTTTTTTTTTCATTGAATTTTAAATTATCTATTTTAAAATTGAGGTTAACATTTTAATGTACAAACATTTTTATTTTAAAAAATAAAGCACGTCTACAAAAATTAATCATTAAAAGCATTACTTGATGTCTGTTTTAAGGGTTTATGGATTTTTAAATTAAAAGAGAAATTTTATGGACTAACATAGATGCAAGCCTTATCAAAAAGGTGTCTATAAACACCCTTGGATCCAAGAACTGTCTAATTTATGATCGTACCTTGTAATTAAATATTCTACTACCTTTTCCACCTAAAATTTGGTAAGGAATCGCGAGTTTTCGCCCAAAAACTGCTTATTAAGGAAAATTAGAGGTGGAAAAAGATTGATTTTCAGTATTTTTGGATATCTTGTAGTTGGATGTGGTAAAACCTTAATTTCGAACCTTTAATACTAAAAGATACAATTCTTCTAATTCAAATTAATTACAAAGCCCATAAATGCCGACATTCTTGACATTTCAATATCAAAATTTCACTCACGCTTAATGAAGACTGTTTACATTATCGACAGAAGCAATGCATGACTCACATACCACAATCATTGCCAGGCTAATCAAATAAAATTTCATCTTCAGTAAAATAAAATCGCTAAAACATTCTCAGACAGTCGTGAAATAGCGCAGATGCTAAACAGAAATTTTCTGTCATTATTTTAAAAATTCATCGTGCTTGCAATTTTCTTGACTCAAACTTTCAGCTGCAGCTGGCAATAATAAAGAAATAAATTCAGTTTCCAGCATAAAAAAAATTGTTTTTTTGGAAGTGAAAAACTTTTTTATTCCTCCCATCCGTGACATTAATCTTGGCATGAAAATTTCCTATCGAGTTCTAGTTAAGCACCAGGAGGTCGTCTTCATTTCAGCATTGCTGTGAATGGAAACAAATTTTTCCCACACGACAACATGTATCATGAACATTTGAGAAGGAAAGTTCTGAACTTGCAAGTCTATTTTCTGATAATTGTATGATGGCTTGTTTGTGGCAGTGCTGATGGAATTGAATTGGGATTTTTTGATAATTCTCTGCTTAATTTAATTAACTTAAAAGGTTTGCCTTTCGATAAAGGAAATTCCAATCGAAGTTTCAATGGCTTGATGGGTTAATAATTAATTATCATTTAGGTAATTAATAATCAAGTCTTTCGATTTCTCAAATATAATTTATGCTGAATTAATTTTTCTGAATGGTATTTGTCACATTTAATGGTAATCATATGAAAATTATCAATTGAATTAATCTCAACAGTTCAAATCAAGACATTAATAATCTCTCATATAAATTGCTATTCTTCATCTTACTAAAGTGCAAACAGTTTACGTTTATCATTTCTATTTTTACTCCTAAGTAGTACCGAAATGTTGAAGCACAAGCTTTCACTTGATATTAAAATGTCAAAAACAATTCAAAGAAATTCTATATATTCTTGATACGCAAATAAGCTCGAAATACTCTCGTGCACTTCCTTAATAAAACGTACGGAAAAATAAATATACAGGCAAGTGTCGAATTCGATTTCGCATCAAGAGATTTTAGGGACTTTGTATATTTTTTTAAGGAATTTTCTGTTATTTGGCACGTATTAACTTTTATTGAATACAGAGTTGGGTGTAAATCTTATTTATTGATGTTGAATGAACTTTGTCCTAAAGTTGTGGATTTTTTTAAATTTCTTTGCTTCCTAGAAAGCAACAGTCAAATAAAATACTGATTCTCAATAAGCTTTGAGCTTAGTACCTTTACTACTGCTCGAAATAAAACAATATAAAGTAAAAATTGAATTTTCCCGCCATTTTTGTAGATTCTTGTTTACATTATTGAAGAATTTACAAAATTTGACTTTCTAGGCAATTTAAATGACTGGTTATGATACTAAATGCCTTACTCTCACTTTTTTAATCCATAGCTATAATTGAAATAGCTAATGAATAAGAAATGAAGATAAACTTTAAGAAGAAATGTTTTAGATGAGATGTAAACAAAAACTCTTTAGTTTTTAAGTAAATTAGATATTTAGTAAACTAGAACTTATAATGTTAAACTTAAAAATTTATTAATCGTTATTTCCTTAAGCATCCAACTAAGCAAAATTAAAGATATTCAAAATATCCATTCCAACAAAACTAATTCGAGATAGAATTTGAGAAATTGAAAATAAAAATAAAATCCCTCTTATCTCCACATTCCTATGCATATTCATGTTAATCCTTCTCTATATCTCTTTCCATTCGTTGTATAAATCACATCAAGTTTTATGAGATGAACAGAAACACAAAAAAGTTTTAATTGTAGAAAAAAAAAATAAACAGGATTTTTCTTTACAATTACACATTAAGTCATACAACAGCTTTGTTTAATTTTTTGTTACTCTATTTTCCTCTTTTTTGTATCATTTTACTTTATTCATCACATTAAAGCAAATAAAGAAGCGAGAGGAAAAGAGATGCTTACATGGTTGGGTTGATTCCATTTGACCCATGAAAATATTTCTTGGGTTGATCATTAGGCAATGTACATATGTATGTATGGATGATCTTATCATTATGAATCACTGAAAAAATCCGAAAAAATCTTCAAATTGTTTAGAAAGTTCGTATAAAATTCAAATAAACCATGCTGCTATAGTAACTATGCTAAAATTTTACTAAAATATTATACATTTAAAGCTTAGTTTTTTTTTTTATTTCCACAAACAATTTATTGTGTGTAGTTTTATCGAACCTATCTATTTGACTAGATTTGGCACATTCTAATTGGATTTTTTAAATCATTCACTTTCCATCTCTCTTCCTCTCAATCTCCAATTCCACTTTACTTTTGTCCTATCTCATTCACATAAAAATTTACTTTATTTTTTTTTTCAATTCACACAACTTATATCCTTAATTTATATCAGAATTTTCAATTTTACAAAAACAAAAACACTTTTGTAATCATGGTTGTTGAGTTTGGATCCCAACATATGTCGTTTCAGTTGGCAATGAATGCTTCTGCGTTTTGTGTATGCAATTGCAAAATAAATGGTGAATAAAGTTTGGTTTTTTTTTTTGGGGAAATCAAAAAGATCCGAAAAAAAAATTTTCCATAAAAAAATGAGAAAAAAGAATAAAAAAATTTATTAAGCAAAAATTTTTTGTGGAAATTTTCTTCTCAATAAAAAATGACAACAAAAAGGTTTTTTAATGCCTGGCACTTTACTGCTACGTCTCAACATAATCATTTGAGCTATCGTATTCCATAACACTTTGATTCAATTGATGACCTCTGTCAATGGTAAGGCCACCATTTGTCTCATCACCATTCATGTGCGTCAATATTGTGCTATTGAGATTACTTACATGCGTTACTGTTCGTTTGTTTATCGCTCGATTCTTGTTTGTCTTGAACGAGCATATCAGCAGTTCACTCATTCCTTTACGGAAGTTTCTCGACAGGATAGCATAAAGGAGTGGATTTACACCGCTGTTAAAGTAAGTCGCAAGGAAAGTTAATGGTGTGAAGAGGGCTGTAAAATTTGAATCGCCTTTGTAGCCGTCTGACCTGTAATAAAGTATGAAAGGAAATGGCAACAGTTAAAGTTATGATACTTGACACTTATTATGGAATTGGATAGAAAATTTGCCAGAATTCGTGCTTTAAAAAGCCTTTCACAAAAAATTCTGTCAAAAGCTTTCCAAGAACACATCACAACCGGTTCTGTTGTGGCTTTTGATCATAAAAGTAAGCAAACGATAGCAAAAGCCAATGTTTGAATTTATAAACCCCACAAAATCAATTATGCTTTCTCGCTATCGGGATCGGGATCGGGATTTCCCGGGATTTACCGATCCCGATCAATCCCGGGATCCCGAAATTTATCGGGATCGGGATTGAAAATCCCGGTTTTTTAGTTTAGGAAATTATTGATGTTTTAGAACCTGCTAAATACGCGACAGAAGAATTATTGCGTAAATACAACGATTTATTAATTGCTGAAGGAACAATTAACTTTTTGCTAGACGAATTGTTGCTACAAGGAACATTATTGTCTCAAAAGGTTTACGATATGAATTGCGCTCGCATAGGTGCACGAAGAAATGGAACATTAATTAACTTAATACTTTACCTCAATATATTTCTTTAGACAAGCATTTTAAATCGTCAACAAAAGCTGCAATACATAAACTTGGCATTGACTTATTGAAGAAGTATTTTGTCAAAAACTCTACAAATGGAGCTATGGAAGCTTCAACATCCAGTGCAAATCAAATCCAACCGTCAGCCGACCTCAACTCAAAGCGAACGAAATTTCTCTATTAGTAACAACATTCTTACAAAACAAAGAAAACGTTTACTTGACAAGAATCTAAATGCAATTGCATTTGTTAAAAGTTTTTTCATTAATGCTTAATTTTTATTATTATATTCACACCGTTTTCTATAACCTTTACACTTACATCTTTATCAACATTTATTTTCTATTTTTGTTTATGATCACATTTTTCAAAGGAAACATGGATTAAAACATCTACCTTGTAACACATAAAGTATAACTAATTAATTAAGGAATAAATGACCGTATAAGTAGCAAAAAAATATATAATTTTTTTTGGGAAAAAAAGCAGAAAAATGCTGTTTTTAAATTTTTTTACATATTCGGGATTCCCGGGATTTCCCGGGAAATCCCGAAAAATTTCAATCCCGATCCCGATCCCGAAAATTTGTCGGGACCGGGATTTCGAGAAAGCATAAAATCAATAATCCTTTCAACTAAGCTTGTGGTATGCCTCGTAATTTGTCCTTCCAGAAAATTTAACAGAACAGAGTTTTAAGCAATAAATTTCATCAGCAAATTGACTATCCAAATTCTCAGAAAAGTAAGCAACTAGGATTATATTTGATTAAGTTGAAAAATTTGGTAATTTCTTATGAAAAATATAATTAAGGTTTCCATAATTAAATTCATTCGAATGTTGAAATTATCTGTCCTTTTTTTGGAAGGATCACAGAGTTATAAAGCAAAATTAAATACATCAAAGGCTAATTCATTATCAAAAGATATCCCACTCGTGTCTGTTCTGCCTGGCAAGTGCTCGTGTGTGTAGGACTCAAATTAAAATTATCTCGTAAGAAATCCAATCTTCAAACTTTATTTACATTAATTTTTCACAACACGATTTTCATTAATTCTTAACAATATTACCGCGCCTACATGAGTCTTTTACTTGTCTAAGTAATTTACAAAACTATGTTCAATTGAAGTCAAAAAGCAGTTCGAAGCAGACTGGCTTTAAAAATAAAACCTTTCGAGGAACGATTTATCAATCAAAAGCTTTTGAATATTTTTCTAAGTGCTCGAGGAAATTCAATACATCAACCGTTCAATATCAGACAAGGCGTGGAAACTATCCCATTTATCCCATTTATCCCATATATCCCAAAAATATTCAAAATTATCCTTGAGCCTGTATTCATTAGAATTGAGATATCCCAACGTATCCTTCGTGTATTGAACGTGTAATTTCAGGATATGATGGGATATCTCAATTCCAAAGCATACAGGCTCAAGGATAATTTTGAATATTTCTGGGATATTTGGGATAGTTTCCACGCCTTGATATCAGATGCCTTTACACAAATTGTGTATGCAAAGCTTTATTGCCTTTCCAATCGACGTGAAAATTGCATGATTGAGGTTGAAACGAGAACGTTGATATTTTTGTGGAAAAAACCGAAAAAACTCAATTTTTATAAGAAATTTGACGATCGGGAAAGATATTGTTGTAGTTACAAAGGCAGGTGTTCAAACATAATTATAGAAACCCCTAAGCTGATATCAATTACGAATTGACGCCTTAAAAATTTGTTTGTCAACAAAAAAAAATTCAGCAGAAAAAGATTGTAAATTCAATCCAATTTTCTTAACAAGAAAAGCTCTCTTTTGATATTTTTAGATTGATGAGAATAATTCATCATCAACTCATTCGTTAGAGTTATGCACAACAGAGTCAAAAAGAATGTATTCAGGGGGTTGAGATAGGCCTTCCTTTAGCCTTCAAAAATGTCTGAATAGTCCTCTGTTCTCATGCAAATTGTAATGTAGGATTGTGAATGTAAAAAATTTAAATCAGAATGAATAATATGAAGAGAAGATTATATGAATTATTGCAGCCTTACACAGAAGATTATGATGTTATGGATTGAATTAATGAATCTCATTTTTGGGATTCTGCCTTCCTTCCTTTTTAAAAAATTTGATATTATTTGAATCTTATTGCCTTTAGAAAAATTAAGAATTGCGTAGCTAAAAGTGAAATTTTCCAAGAAAAAAAATCAAATTTAAAAGTCCGTGTAGGAAGCTTTTATTGAATTACAAGTCTCAAAAAAATTCTGAAAAATTTACATTTTTTGAGCTTTCTAAATGAAATTTTCTGAGAATTTTCTTTGTCACCTTGGAAAGGAAATAAATACAATTTATTAGTACATTAATTTTTTGGGCAACCTTCAATTTTTGATTTAAAGGACAAATAAACAATTTAATCATATGCTTCCCAGAAGAATCTACAATCTTACCAATATTGCCACATTTTCCTTCCATGAAGTGGTAAGTTACACAAAGCAAATGTCAGAACGACGACAATAAGCATCCTAACGACACCTCTGCGAGCTCTTAATACATTATTTGTAGAATGAGTTGATATGTGAGTGTGTTGCTGTCTGACATGATGACCTCCATGGACACTTTGTGTTCTCCAAGTGGACACGCCATTTTTATCAGTCTCCATAGAAACCTTTTAAAAACGAGAGAAGGGAATTAAAAATCTTTTAATGAGAAGCTTAAGGACTTCATACCTCACTCTCACTAGCATTGAGCATTCTTTTGTTTTCACATTTCTGCTGGTATCTACAGTATGGTGATGGATTACTTGCGGAAATGACCTGCGTCATTGGTGTTGTCGATTTCATTTGTAAATGCCTCCCAAGTCCCTTTGAACTTTTCCATAATGATATTGCTATGCGACTATACAGCACCTGTATTGATGAAAGTGAGATGAATAAAAAGATGTTGATGAAACAGATGTAAATTCATAAAGATTAAAATTCTTTTGATTTTTTTTTCTAATAATTATTTACAGTTGCAGGATCTTTAATTAAAAAGAATTTAAAATTTCAAAGTTGAAGCTCAGCAACAAACAGCAAATTTTAATGAATTTGGTTCAAACAGATTATATTGGCGTCACTTGTGATTGTACAAAGCATAATTCAATAATAACAATAAGGGGCCGTTCACAGATGACGTCCGACATTTAGGGGGGGGGGGGTCTAGGATTTTGTGACAGTTCAAACATTGGAATTTTTTTCTATAGAATTTTTGTGACAGAGGGGGGGAGGGGGGTCTAAAAATCAGGTTTTTTGATGGACGTCATAAGTGAATGACCCCTAACTTGATTTGTTAATGATTCCTGATCCCCAGCTACCATCCCATAATTTAATCAAAGCCTAAAACTAGATAACAATTGATAAAACATCAAAAAATATCGAAGGAACTAAGTTCAAAAAAACTAAGAATTCTTAATTAAAATCCTACTTAATTTTTCATTTTAAGCCTCAACATAATCATCACTTATCTTCAATTCATTCTAAAATATTAATGTTATGTGATTACTGCAATATATTTCTACAGATACATAAGTCGTCTGCTGAAATGAAAAGCAGCTTGTGATAATTAAGTCTCATTAATTTTCAAGGAAATGTTCAGAAACTCCCTCAGCACTCCTTACATTTCCGTTGCCATTAAGAAGTAAGAATCAGAGGGCGAAGTCGACTCGGATTTTGTATGGAAAAGTCGACTTGAGTTAACTCGACTTCATACAAATTTCGAGTCGACTTCGCCCTCTGGTAAGAATAATCTGCTCGACAATTGATGGCTAGACTCTTGCTTGTCACATTTCACTTGTTTGAGAGAATTTATGAAGATAATGGCAGCGATATTTTGACACTTAATCTCTTGAGTAGGATGTTAAGTTGATGAGCTATTTTTGTGTAAATTCTTTGAAAAATTATTCTGTACTTTATGTTCCATGAAAAGAAATATTATTAAAGGCAAGAAGATAAAGCTCAGAATTTTGACATATGTAAGATGTCTATTCATAATATTTTTCGCATGGCATATCAATATCATTTTTAACTCAAAAATAAAATGCTCATCAAGATTCCAAGAAAATGTGATAAGCATAAGGTACTCATACATGTCAAGTGAGGCACGTGGAAGAAATTACTATGCAACAAAAAAAGTGGAAAAAACAATTCTGTTGAGACAAATTGTCTGACATATTAGGATGCAGGTAGTGCTTTTTCCTGATAGGACTTCAGAAACGTGCCATGTCATGCTGATTAACCAAGCGAAAATTCATCAGATTTTCTAACTTAAAGGAGTCTAAATATTTTAAAAAGGAACAAAAAAATCCATTAAGATGTGACAAAAAAAAATCAATCAAATTATTCCCTTGAATTTATTCTTTATTCCACCAACATAATCAATTCTCAGAAATCAAAAATATTATTAGCTTTTATCAAAAAAAGCTTCTAAAAATAAGCCACGCTCCCCTCTATTATGTCATAACCTTTCATTCAATTTCTTGTTCACGTGAGAATTCATCAAAAGTGAAAAAAATATTTTTTTTTCGCGCTTTAAAGCAGTGTTTGCGTGGAGATGTATAAGCACAAATTACGAAAAAAAAAAAAAGAAGAAATCTGACAGCAATAAGCAAAGTTAAGTGAGCTTTTATAAGCATTAATCAGAGCTGATTGTTATCAAAAATTATGCTTCCTCTTCTAATAGAATATTCGCGTATAATTAATAATGGAAGTAAATAAAAAAAATCTAATTCCGTTTCGAAAGAGAAACTTGATCATGTATAGAAGAATTATTCAAGATACGTAAAACTTTCACTTCTTTAATTATTAATGCTATTGTAAAAGTTTTGTTGTGCTAATGGAATCTAATGAAGAAAATCCGGTTTATTGAGGCTTTTTTGTTGGAATTAAGGATTTACTATAGATTGTTGAACGAGATTGATTTACAAATGATATTGCGTCCTTGAACTTTTGGTTATCAAAGTGTTTTTGACTAAGTTTTGGTTCTTCAAATAAAAATAATTATACATAGTTTCACATCTTTTGGGCTTATAAGGCTATAGTTTTGCATCTTCTTATAGTGACGACTCTAGTATTGTCACTAGCCCGAATGGCACAATTCGTTTAATCAAGTAGTATCCAGCGCCCAGTTGGCATGACTCTGGCATGGTCCTGGCTTCAAATTAAATCCAGCACTATGCCAGAGTCACAACAGCTTGGTGCCGGATTTCTAATCGATTAACCGACTTGTGCAATTCGGGTAGTCGTTTAATATTATCCTCTTAGCCTGATCATGCATGACTATTTAACCTCTAGACATCACATAAGCCTGATTTTCATCTAAATCTATATTTATAAATCTTAATTGACATTCCCACTGAGCCTTATTTTAAGAACAACTAATAACAGTAATCTTCATGCACTAAATTCAGCTTTTAATACCTACCGTCATGACAAGTAATGGCAATATATACAAGCAAGCAAAATTGAGTACGTCAAAAAATTTCATGTTGTAATCCCTCCTATTCACAATGCATATCGTTTCTGATATCGGATGTGAGATGATGAAAAATTCAGCAAAAAAGCGTGTAAAAAGAAGAAAAATTTGTTCATTAACGAGATAAAAAAAAGTTAATCAGCATAAATAATGAGACTTTTTCTTACCTGTTTGATTACCCAATTTGTTTGTTATTGTTTGTACGAATATGAATTTTGGTGCTGAATATAATACAGATCCTAGCCATACGAATCCTATCACAATCTGGCATTTGTTTTTCATTTTATGGCAAGTCGGAAGAAAAAAATGGAGGCAAAATTTGTTGATTAAAATAGAATATGGAATTGGATAAAATCTGACTGATTTTAATTTGGAGATTAGGATATGATTAAAAATAATAAAGGTTGTGTGGAGTAAAGGGGAGATTCATATTTCTACATGTGGTTGTATTACCAAAAATCAAGACTTAGATCAATACAAAGCTGATCAAACTATGTCGAAAAAAGGAAGTTGTCAAACAGATTTCTTGTTCAAGGTTAGAACCTTAAAAGAGAGGGATGATCCACGTGTAAGACTTATCCTCTTGTAAAGAGATTTTGAGGTTATGCCAGCAAAGCAAAAATAGAACAAGCATCAAAGATTTTGTCTAAATATGGTAAATGGATTCTTCCTCAGAATCCTGAAAATTCTTAATCTGCATTTAAAAATCCACAATTACATCAAAATGTAAATTCCTTTTAAAAATTTGATAAACCATACAAAAAGCCTGGGAGGCACGTATCGCATTGAATCACAGATTTACAAAGTAAATAATAATATCAAACGGAATCAAATTTGTACTTACTTTCAATCTACTTGACGTTAAAATCTGTTTACTCGTTATTGGATGCTGGATGGCTAAATAACGTTCCATACAAATAACGACGAGAATGAATATAGATGCTGTGTAACTAAGTGATGTTATGAAGTAGTATGTCTTGCACAAAAAGCTTCCAAATACCCAGCTATGTACCATGAAATGAGAAAAAATGGAAATAAATACTTTAGAAATGAATTAATGGCTTTTTTGTTCAAACTTGTAACACATTTTAAACATTTGAAGAAAAGTTTTCAAAAATAATTTTCCTTATCAAAATTGAAGAGGACTTTTTATGAATAGTTTCTGCTACACAAAAGATGAATGGAAAGATTGCTTTTATACTTTACTAGATTTAAAACATTTGTTTCTATTCAATTAAGATCATTTACTGAATAAGTTTTCAAAAACCGGAAAAGTGAGATAAAATTGAGTTGAAAAAAGGCATTTAAAATAGGAATTGAGCGCATTACTTATCCGCACCTTAACTCTTAACCAAATGATTGCAACTTTATTAAACAAAGTTTTTAAGTGGATAATTGAATTTTATGCATTATTGAATCCATTTAATTAACAACAAACTTATAATTAAATTAAATTTGAAGAAATTTCATTTAAAAATGTGAAAACTTTATCATAACTTCCATCAAACAACTTTTCAAAAGTAATTTTGTTTATTTTTCATTTAAACGAAGTCAAAATGCAACCCGACTTCATTGCATTACTTTGAAAAGGTTTTTAAAACAATTTAATAAATTTGTAATTTAATTAAATTTATAATTTTGTTGGAAAATCTTTAGAAACTCAATTTAGAAATTTAATTAAACGTTTAAAATAATTCAAGAATCAGAAGAATTATAAAAAAACTCACCTTTCAATCAAATAAAGCGACAAATTCTGATAAACACAAAATATACCAACACAAAAGTCAGCAACGGCAAGGTTGGCAAGAAAAAAATTTGTAATTGAACGAAGTCGACGTGATAAGGTCACTACTAAAATCACCAAAAGGTTTCCTGAAATGAAAAACAAAAAATAATGGAGAGATTTAATTAATTGATAAGTTTAGGAACAAATAAATCTAGAACAAATGAAATATTTTCTGAAAATTTATTGGTGAACTTTAAAGTACTGCAACGATCCTTTGGGGTCGTTAATTTATGACGTCAATCAAAAAATCTGTTTTTAGACCCCCCTTCCCCAATCTGTCACAAAAATTCTATAGAAAAAATTTCCATTGTTTGAACTGTCACAAAATCCTAGACCCCCTCCCCCCTAAATGTCGGACGTCATAAGTGAACGGCCCCTTAGATGAAGTTTATTTTCAAATTTTTTATACTTTTCCAATGAACTTACTTTTTGGTATAAAAATAGTTTTAGAATTTAAGCATTTTAATAGTTTTGAGTAAGTTCCATTTTATGAAGTTGACAGAATTTAAGAATTGTAATAAAAAATGTCACGTTTAATAGTAAAACCATTAATGACTGAGAGACTAAGAACTTGCAATATGGAACATTGAACGAGACCTTGAAATTTTAAACAAAAATAAAGAATAAAAGTTGAAAGCCCCTCAAACTGGCAATTTTCATTTATTCCGCCCCAAACCACATCACAAGAGAAAGGAAATGAACAATTACAGCTGCAAAAAGCATTAATTTAATTACATTTGAAGAAACATTTAAAGAGTTTCTCAAGTGCATTTTATACATTCTATTTCCATTTTCAATTACATCCTTCGTGTAAATAACGTACAGTGTATTTACTATATGAACAACTCTTTATCACATGAATACTTCCAATTACTAAGTTAGTGAGAGAAAATGCACATTTCAATTTTATAGCACAAACTTGTGAAGCATGAAGTACACAAGCTTCCATATAGTTTTTTTAGATCAACATAAATTTGTCATTTTTACGAAAAAATTGTGTAAAATAAAAGCGAATAGCAAACAACATTCAGACACGCAATGAATGAAATTTTCAGACAGCAAACAAGGAACTGCTAGAGGATTGTTGATTTACAGCACAATTTATTCTATTTTTATTTTATTTTTTTCATCATCAATTTTGTTGAAGGAAATGAATGGAAAAAAATACGAAACGAAGAAAATGTGGAGAAAATTTGGTAATTTGACTTAATGAGGAAAGAAGAAAATTAAGGAAATAGTGAAAATTTGGAAATAGCTAAACTTCGATTTCTTTTAGTTTGCAAAGGAAGTTTGTATTTAAATTCAATTTAGAGTTAATCAATTTGATGCAAATTTGTTGGATATTTACAATCTAAACAAATTTTAATAAGCTTATCAAAAAGGTTTTTTTGGAAACAACAATATTCCTTTTTGTTTGAGTTTCTTCATGATCTTTCAATGTTCGCTCATAATTTCATCATCTGCGATAAATTAATTTTTATTGAAGATTATTTTCTCATTATTTTTGGTTGTTTGTTGGATATTAGAAAATTGTTTTGGGGCATTAGAACCTTTTTATGCTTGTCAGTCGGATGAAATCTTTAATTTTAAAAGTAATTGTGATCACGTTTTAATAGAAGCTGAATTTAACAGATTTCCTCAAAAGTTTAATTAACAAATATTCAGAATGACGTCAATAGATCCTCATCAAAATGATATGCTCAATTATAAAGGAAGATAAACTAAAATTGCTTCATAATTGACTTTTAAACTTCATGAAAAATTCAAAAGTCTTCAATTTGCTATTTTTATCCAGCAGGAATTCATTTTTCACATTCTACAAAACTCTTTTAAAATTCAAATAAAAACTTGAGTTTCCAATTTAAACTTTTACTATGGAAAGAAAGTATTTGTGACTCACAATGAGCAGAACGTTCCATTTGCTTTACAGGAAACTCAAATATGAAATGGAAAATTCAACATTTGACTCGTTTAGCAGTTTTAATAGATGTCAGTGAGTAGCACAACTCACTTTAAGAACTCTCTTTGAAGAAACTACTTTAAAGAATTCTTTCATATTGACATCTTATAGCTTAACAGAATCTCTTGGAAAGCTTGAACGACCTCAACACTCAAAGAAGCATTATGAGCAACTTGTGGAAATTTCTTTGCCTTAACAAGGAATAAAATGCTTTTAGTTTGATGGAGAAAATACAAAAGAAAGTTTTGAGTGGAGGGAGGGAAGTTAAATATTTGAAGAATGAGTCACAAATGTGAAATAATAAACCTTTATAAAATATTCGGGATGGAAGAAAATTTTTTGTTTTAATCAGCATTTTAAGGAATTTGCTCAAGGTTCTAGTTTTGCAATGAGATTTGCAATTATATTAGAATTTCAAAACTGGCTACCTTAAAAAATAAAAAAAAAATATGCCATCGTCTCTCAAAAACTTTTCTAAGCCTAAGCCATTTCAAAAATAATCCATGATGTCAAAAATCCAAGGTATTCAACCTCAAAGAAGTATTATTTTTATGCCTCAGGGCACAGACTTTCAAGATTTATAAATATTCTTCTAGCAGTTCTTTTTAGAACGATATGTTGGTATTATGATGGAGATTACTATGACGTTACGTGATGAATACTAAGCACATGAAAAAAAAAACATTCGTGAAATGAAGAAAAACCATTTTTCCGGTTTTTTAAGATGAAAGAGTTTGAAATATTGAGCTTAGAATTTTTGTTATCAAGATAAATGGATTTGAAGGTTTAAGTTTTCGGCTGGTTCTTATAACGATAATCTATGATTTTGTTAAATATCATAAGCAAGTCAAAATAAATTCAGAATTGAAATTTCACTTGAATTCATCCTTATCAAATTTTTTTGACTTGAACAGATGAGGCAATTTGTGATTATGGCAGTTCCAAGTGGCGTCTTGAGCTGATTGAATTATACAAATCAAATTTCTTTAAATGATGTGATACAGATACGATTTATTACTTGAAAACTAAATCAATCGCTTATTGGAACATCAAAACAACTCAAAGGCAGCACACATGACTGACTTTATGGTTTTGTTTATGTTTGATTGCTTCTTCTGTTTAGTTTTGGGGTCTTCAAAAAACACATGATTTTGGGAATGATGCTCAAAATGCTGTTTACTGTCGGTTTGGTATTCGATAACTTTACTGGTGTGCTAATGGCTGGAATGATTTAATTAAACTATTTTATTGAACTGAATCTCAAAAATCAAACAAACTATTGAAAAACATTCATACAAACTGATGCCTATCTTTAAGTATCTCTTGTCTCCCTTAAGACTTTATTATGAGTGGAACAAATTTCGAAGGAAAACCAAAATATTTTCCGCAAATTTTCAACTTCCTTCAATAGTCGCAACAGAATTAAGCAAAATTATTCACCCAGCAAGTTTTCCAAGATGTTACACCACAATTCTGCTTCCTCCTCTTCATTTTCTCTCGATTTTCTTCGAAAATTTTTATTACTTCGAGGTTTTTTTCTCTTTTTTGTGGGTTTTGCTCTTGAAATTAGTGTTGAAGAGTATGATTTGATTCTATAGAGAGGAAGTTGAATGTTTTGTGAACAAACTTTTTAGATTTATTTGTTCTGAAGAATTTGAAGGATTTTCTACTGAATTTAGGTAATGGATGGTGATGACATGATGGCATTACTGATGTAAAATATAAAATGACTGTCATACCGAGATCCTGACAACCTCAAAAACCGTCAATATTTTCATGGACAGAAATGCAAAAGAACCTTTAAATTTTATTGTATCCAACACAAACTGTTGATGATTTGACAACTTATCGAACCTTTCTGACTAACTTTTTCTTTGAGTTTTCTTCCTTTTCTAGAAAAGGTTGATTCTTCAATAAATTAGAATTCTTCAAATGCGCATTTTTTTCATAAAATACTGCGACTGAAAGCTTTGATCAATTTCCCATAACTTTTAAATTAAAGATATTGCTCATAGTGACTTACAATCTATTAACTGTTTGTTAAAACTTTTTCGCATAGGAAGGCCTTATTTTATCGATCCTTTCTTACTTAAAACAAGAATTTCTTGCTAAGCAGTTTCCATTCCATTTTTCAGCATTGTAAATGCTTTTTTCAGCTCATTTTCTTTTTAATTTTTCAGCAAATTTACTCAACAAAATTATGAATAATTCATTCGTTGAAAAATGGAAGTATTTAGCATTTTCTTCAAGTTATAAATGCTATCGCAGCGTAAGCTCTAGAGGCAAGAAGATTTATGTTCATTCAGCAGAATCGGTTAGAAACATGTGAGTACACACAAGTGGAAGGAACAAGAAGTTCTTATTGTGAAAAATAAATTAAATTTTAATTTACTAAACAACGACAAAAGAATCGAAAAATTGAATGAACATTGTTTTTTGCAGCATGGAGGAGGAAAATTTAACTGACAGGTGCGGCAAGAAATGAATTGAAATTTATAGCCGCAAACTGATTGCTTTTTCATGTCATTTGAGATGATTCATGAGACTATTTCCTTCTTCTTTATTTATGAAATGGAATTTTAAAGCTTTCAGGAAAATTAGTTATTAAATTCGAGTTTTCAGGATGAATAACGGTTCCTGCACGTGCTTTGAATTTTATATTGGAATTTTAAGAGCCTTAATATTGGATATAACAAAATATTGAACGGGTTTTAAGTACTTTAAAAGATTTTTCATTGTTCTCGCTCTTCAATATCTCAGAAGTGCCATAAATCTCAAGCCTTAATATTCAGCAAAGCGTTAAAAAATTGGATTTTTATGACAGCCTCGGGATCAATGTAAGAAAAATCCATCAATCACTCAAATAATAATATTGAATGCGAGAAATAAAGCAAGGATTTTTTGGCATTAATTGATCCTTAAATTTTGTAATCTTTTCATAAATTGATTGTTGAGTGCTTTTCCTTCCAGGAAAAAAAATGATTTTATTTATGAAATATTAAGGCAGAGCTTTTTTGATACGCAATACATTTCATACTTTAGGACAAGGCCATAGAACTCCCAAAATAGTATAGCCGTGAGTGAGCATTGTGCAGTAACGTATACAAACTATTGAGTAAAATTAAGTTAATATGAGCAAAGTGTAGTTAAATATTGTAAAGTGAAGCAAAGTAAACCAAAGTATAGTAGAATGTAGCAAAGTGTAGCAAAAGAGTAGCAAGTGTAGTTTAGGTATAGTAAAATGTTGTAAAAGTTTAGTCAGTATAGTAAGAGTATAGCAAGTGTAGTAAAAGTATAGAAAGTGCAGCATCCTAAAACTGTTTAAAACTTTAAAAACCAAAATGTTTAAAGTTGATGTGCAATAATTTTGAAATAATGCATATTTAACCATACCATTTATTTATAAATAGTCAATATTATCGCAACTTAAGAACCGCTTATTATTTGAAATTTCATGCATTAAAATTCTTTTGTCTTGAGAAAATATTAACCAAGATAAAATGAATCTTTTCTCATTTAAATAAAATAAAACTGTTAAACTAAATTCAAATATTTCAACATTAAGGATGTCTTCCAAATTTCGAAGAACAGAAACGAAAGAAAAGAGCACTCATAGAAATAATTGTATGGTTTTGAGGAAAATCAAATATTCAAATATTTGATTTTTCCGATTTGTATGAAATTTCAAATAGGGTAAATGACTTTGAAATTTGCGCAACCTTGAAATTTGCGCACTCGTATGAAAACGAAAATTTTAAAATTATATCTGAAAATTGCACTTCTATTCAGATGATCAATGGGAAATGTCTGCAGAACACAAGCACAGATGTTTTTTCATAATTTTTAGTGGTCTTAAGGCACTAGAAAGCTTAATAATTTATTACCAAAAACTCCCATACAAAACTTAAATTTCTTTACATTTTGATTTTGAGATGCATGCATTGGTATAGATTAAATTTTGGTATCAGAAAATGTAGATCTGACATTGCTTAAAATTTTTCAAATGGTTCCAATTCAAAATGATACCTGGAACTGCTTTAAAATTCATTTTTAAAATGACTTGTTTTTGAACCTTGAAATTTGCGCAAATTTTATGAAAAATTTTAAAATTTGCGCAGTGAAATATCATAGATACCGGCCAAAAAAGGCAATAAAATGAACATAGCTTTAAGACTTTATACTACTTTATGTGCTTAAATCAGAGTATTTTTAGATTGAATAAAAAATTTAAAATTGAATTACTATGGATACATCATTTTGCTTGTCCCTTTTTGAATTTATTATGTGCTTTTGAACTATTTTGAAACCATTTATCTAGTGTTTTTTTTCCACGCTGGATTTACTCCTAATACATCTAAGATCGTCATGTTGAACATTGAAGCTTTCACGGATTTTCACGAAACTAAATCTAATCATATAATCTCTAATATATAAAAGCCCAACTCACTGATTCACTGACTCTGGAACGGAAGCTATGTGAAGACGTTTGTGAAGCCGTGTGAAGATAAAAATTTAAGGATTGTTGACAAGGTGGTTATCAGGTGGGTGTGGGTGTCAGGTGTTGGGTGAGTGTCAGGTGGGGGATGGTGGCAAGGGGGACTCAGGTATATTTTGTGAAGCCGTGTGAAGCCAATGATTTGAGGAGTCCTGACAAGGTGGGTGTCAGTTTGGGGGGGTGTTGACAAGGTGGGGGGGGGGGGGGGGGCAATATGGGTGTCAGGTGGGTCCGAATTTGAGGGGGTTTGTGACGCCGTGTAGTGCTGAAAAGCTTGGTGTCAGGAATATTTTGTGGAGCCATATAAAATTTTGTGAAGCCATTTATAAAATTTTTGTGGAATTAAGGGGGTCCGAGTTTGAAGGGGTTTGTGAAGCCATGTGAAGTTTTGTGAAGCCATTTTTAAAGTTTTTGTGGGATTAAGGGGGTCCGAGTTTGAGGGGGTTGTGAAGCCATGCGAAGTTTTGTGAAGCCATTTATAAAGTTTTTATGGGATTAAGGAAGTCCGAGTTCGAGGGGGGTTGTGAGGCCATGTGAAGTTTTGTGGTAGGATTGACCTTAAAAACATTATGGTTATTTGCGTCTTACAGTTATTTACATAATAGTAATCAAATTTTAACCCTGATAAGAGGCGCCACGGGCGCTTCCGGATAGCCTAGTTTGGTAATAAACATCATCATTTCCCTTATATTTTGATTAATGTATATTAAAATTGGATATGTTTTCAATAATATTATTTCCAAGATTCAATGATTGCTGTCAAAAAAGTGCGCAAATTTCAAGGTTTTTTTGCGCAAATTTCAAAGTTTTCTGCGCAAATTTCAAAGTTCAAACTTGAAAGTCAAATTTCTTGGCATTGACACAGCAGAGCTTTCTATATCCATAGAAAAACAAAAATATCAATGATTCCCTGCATTTCAAGATCGTTAGTAGGGCTCAATTTCAATCCTCCGAAGAGCTTGAAGCAAATGAAAATTTCATGTGTGACTTTGCGCAAATTTCAAGGTCATCTACCCTACTCGATATTTGGTTTTTTTCCAAAACCATACAAATTCTAATATTTTTTCTATGAGTGTGAGAATCAATGTTTTTGATATTGTTGGTTTTAGCGAAAATGAAATGTTATCAACACTTTTGATATTTATTTTTTAAAAGTTTGTTGGAAAGTTAATCTTGTTGAAATAAAAAACTAGCATATTATAAAATAAATTTAAAATATTCCTTTTCCCTTCATTCAATTTTGAAATGCCATTAAATTGAAACTAATATATATCAAGCTTGTTTTTAAAGCTTTTTTAAAAATTTAAACTTAATACAAATTGTCCTTATTAGTTTTTTTTAATGTGAGGTTGCATCAAAAAATCAAATTCGAGTCAATTCGAGAAGAAATTCTTAAAGCTAAAGCAAAATTTTTCATAATTTTTTAATAATTATTAAAAAACATTTCTTCTGAATTTTAAAATGAAGTTTTCAATTAAAAATACTCATCTTTAAAATCAAAAGTACAACATTTTAGGTTTTTTTTAAATTTTTCAATTTTTCTATACTATACTTTTATTTTTGACAAATTTCCTTACAAACTTAAGGTATTAATTAGAAATTTCTTTGGCATGAACGAAATTATTTCTGCCTTAGCAGCATTATTGCTTTATGTTTTTGTAAGCTCTATCTTTTCCATCAGCTAAATTTGTTTTAAAATGATAGAATAAAAAACAAATAAAGAAATAATATTTTAAATTCTATAACCTTTAGTTAAGTTTTTAAACATTTTCTTTTAAATTTTTTTTGAAAGTATGAGTATAACGTATTAATGGACCACATGTTTAAGAGACCTTTAACTATTTAGATTGAAATTATGCACTAATTAATTTGATTAAAAATAAAGTATAGAAAAGTAAGAGTAAAGTGCATTAAAGTGTAGTAAAGTGTGAAAAATTTAAGCTTAGTGTGGTAAAGTATACTAAAGTATAGTAAAGTAAAGTAAAGTGTAGTAAAGTATAGGTTAGTATACTTAAATATAGTAAAAAGAAGTAAAGAGGAGTTAAGTGCAGTAAAGTTTAGTAATTGCAGTGATTGTGATACATTGTTTAGTAAGTGTACTGAAACATAAGTAAAAATTTGTAAAGTTGAGTAAAAAAGTAGTGATTGCAGACATAGTGCAGGGAGTTCTATGGCCTTGCTTTAGGATTACAATTTTTAATAAATAATTCAGCTTTATAGCAACTGATTGATCGAAGCCTTTTGATTTGATCTAGATAAATCGGTCTGGGAATTGAACTCATTCAGTCTGCCATAAAGCTACATGAATCACAACTAAAGTGAATAAAATCACATTTGAACTAGATTTAAATGATCTTAATCCAAAATTATCAATAAGAATTCAAAGATGTCACTTACCAAAGAAGCAAAAGCAGAAGACCAACGAATATAAAGTAATAAAGACATATCTCACATCTTTCCGATCAAAAATATATTCCTTATGAGGCTCATGATATAAAAACGTCGAGTTTGCGTCACTAAAATTACTATTTACATTATCACTACTATCAGTCACATTTAAATATTCTGTCGTCAGAAACATCCTAACAAAAGAATCTGTTGTTGAGTAAATGATGTCATTTTCTGTATAATCACTCGTTGTTTGTGTCAAGCTCATTTTTTTGCTTAGCTTTTATTATTTTTTTTCACGATTAAGTCTGTTATCAAACCATGTTTTATTATTTTGATTTTAATTAACCATTATCACCATGCTTATGTACGTCCATTTTTTTATCAATAGATAAAATTTTTGTCACTGATTTATTTAAAGCTGATAAAACTCCATAAACATACACGAAAATTTCCTCAATATTTACACTAAAAATGAACAATAATTTTTTGATTTTCCACGAATTATTAAGCGACTTAATTCACTCGAATGTGTCAACTGATGTGCGATAGGAAATTGTGTATAAATAAAATTAATGGATGTGATGTATGTGAGGCACATTATTACAACAACAAAATGCATTTGCGAATCACTTAATTGAATTAGCATTCATTTTCACTTATCTATGGATCAGTAAGTAAATTGAAATGGAGTGAGCTTGTTCCGCATACTTTAGCTCGTGTGCTGCTATAGATGATTAATGGATTCAGATCATTTATTTGCGTATCAATTAAAGGTTGATGGCCTTGAAGACTGAATGTTAAGGAAAATCTGAAGTTTAAAGCTTCAATCTTAAAGATTCCTTAAAACATATTCGAAGATTCGCTCAGAAAGCTTCAAATCTTCAAATCATTCCTTACTTCCAACACATCTACATCAGATACAATGTTATTGATTTGAAAGTTATCAAGCGTAATTTCTGTAAAAAGACTCAAATAATCACATCGTATATTATTCAGATTACTCGCTCTCCTGCATCAGTAATAATAATATTATGATCATGTCTCTTTAAATGAAACTTTATTCAAGTCATAAATTAGAATGAAAGCGAAAGTTTAGAATTATTTTACCCGCAAGACTTGGAATGTAAGCGATTAAGCTCGTCTGTGTTTCGTCTGCATGGGAAATTTAAAGTTTGCAGACGTGAATATTAGAGTCGAATTGAAAGGTATTCGTGGTAAGAGGAAGAAGATGAATTTGGTACTTAAAATGACTGTTAATTTGTAAAATGGTCAGGACATGATGTGATAGTCAGTTTACTCATTGTTATAATTAGTTTTGAAAGTTTAGGAAGTGATTGAAAGAAGGACTGATACAGTTTAACGAGTTGTTCACTTGAAAATTCTGATTTGCTCTGTTAAGTGCCATTATGGAAAGGCGGACCTTAATTTACACTTTTTTGTAATTCAAGAAGTCGCTGTTTGTTGTATTAACAACAGCTTTATAAGCAAGCAGTCTCAATGTCAAGAGAATATTGAACCTTCCATTACTGCACATCCGATCGCTTCTCACAATAGAAAACTTTTCCATCCTCATCCTCCAACAACCCTGCTTCAAAATAAACAATTTTCAGTATCGACTAGATCGCATATTTGACATGAGTTTGTGTAATTTTTCTTGACATGATATCAGAAAAAATGTCGAAAAAGCTTACATGCACGATTCTTATCTTCGTGTTGCGTCTAAAAATTTGTATCATGAATTTTTTATTTTCAGAGGAATTTAATCCCCTTGAAGCCCATCGCATTGAAATTGGAAGTAAAACTTTATTACATATAAAAAACTGTTTAAAAATTCATCAAAAAGTTTTAAGAAAAAAATTGTTCGTCCGTAGATTTGAATATTTTATGCTTAATGGAACCGGAAAACTATGGATGAAAAATATTATGAAAGGTATGCAGAATGTAAAATTTATAGAATCTCAAGTGCCTTTTTTCATACGATTTATTACAAGCTTTAGTTCCTAACAAAGTATGGCATATGGCTTGTTTTGCTTTCCAAGCCAATATAAATCATTTTGTATTACGGATCATAAAACATAGTAATGTGAAGATTTTATGAGTTTAGGAAATAGAATCAGTACAACTTTATGGAATAACTAGAATATGCTGGAGATGTTTATAGATGTTGTTGTAAAGCAGGTAATGGAAGAGGAAGTATTTTGTGGCAATAAAAAATAATATGATGATTTATGACAATGCTTGTCATGTCCCAAAGGAGGTTCCGTCACACGAAAAAGGGCAAAAGAAGGTGTGATCTGTTGACCAAATGATTTGTTGAAAAGATGTTCTTTTCTGAGGGATTTAAGGTTGTGGATTAAAAGTTCTAAGAATTTCAAGCTTATTAACTTATTTAATCTGATCAATTTCTTCTCAGAACAACACTTTTTAATTAAAATTCTAGCTCAGATTCCCAAAACAAAATAATAAATCCTCAATAAATTATCTTAATAATATTTATATCTACTTCCGCAAACACATAATTTAATAATTTTTCAGCTTTCATTTCCACTTCAATTACTTTAAATCCTTAATTTATTGTCTTAATAAACTTTCTTTCCATTTTTTTATAATCTCAAAATATTTTCTTGCTTCCGTCTCAAAATGTTTTTTGCTGTCACTTTTTGTTCCGATTCGCTACAATGAAATGCTATTCAATACAAATGATGGCAATAAAATGTGTATCATTCAAAGCACTTTATGTTATGAAAGGATGGATAAGAAGACCAACAAAGCTCACAAAAGACTGATGAAATTGTTTATCAAGCTGAGATTTGTCGAATTTGAGATGGAAAATCTTACAATTTTGTGTTTTTGATTGAACTAGGGATGAGGGTGCGGCATGGATGTCAAAAGAGTTAAGTATCAGATGGAAATGGGTTTTGATGAGCTTGTGGTTCTTTTGAACAATTTAATTCTGTCAAAAAAACTCAAATGTTTGAAACTTAATCTTTAAATTTACTAATCAAATTGACTTCAAATCCTTTACTCTTTGTAATGCCCTTGAGTAGAACTCAGTAATCGCAATTTAGTTCACAGGATCAACAAAGAACAATAAATCCTCCAAAAAATGTAATAACAGGATCAACAGACATTGAAAAATATTGCCAATTATACAATAAATTCCTTTTTATTTCCCTTCGATGTCTTCACACAATTCACAATCGATTTAGAATAAAGGATCATTTAAATGTCTACACATTCAATTTATTCTCAATGTCAGTCATCCTACATCTCAAATTTCATGTAAAAATTACATTTCGATCTTCCAAAATATCGATTTTTAATGCCTTTTGGCGAAAGAAGAAAAGGTTCCAAACCTTTCTGAAATGGCATTTTATTGAAGATTTTCATTTTTATTTGAATTTTTTATTATCATCAACCCCCTTTTAGTGTCATAAACTTAATCATGCTATAAATCTTTTACATTTAAATATTCTCGAAAAACATCCCATTAAGTTGTTTAATTTGCAATTTTGGGCTTCATTTTAAGGATGTTCAAGTTCACGTGCTTAAACTTACTTCCTTAAACGAAACAATGAAAGAACCATCTGTCTTAAATGGAATATTGTCTGATGCCTTAAAAATGGATGTTTTTTATGATTTAATGTCGAAATTTTTTTTACGAGGATGAAAGCTTTTGAAATATGACGAAGAACGTAAATCAAAATAAGGAAATGAACGAGAAAAAATTTAATTAAAGTGAAAAAGTTTTGAAGGTATTTCCATGTAATGAAATCCGATCTTTTCCTTATCGAAAAACTTTCCGGTGGATTTTCTTATGAAATTTTTGAATGACTTCTTATTCACTTGAGGCACTTTGCTGCCTATTTCTTGCCAGCAAGTAAGAAAATCTTGTAACTGTGACGCATTTCTTGGTCATACTGGATTTCCACACTTGTTTCGTCAGTTCAATTTGCATAAAATAGCTATAATCCAATAAAATGTAACTCGAGAACTCCATCCACAACGTCGACCCAGAATGGGAAGAAAAAAACACTTCAAAATCCAGAATTATTGCATAAAGCTTTGCTTCCATCCATCTCAATGCTCTTAAGACGATTTGCAGTAAGCATATGAAGTGAAGCAACATGTTCGGGATTATGTCTTAATTTTGTTGAAGGAAAATTGCGTTAATATGACGATAAATGCTGACGTTCAGCTTGTAGATTATTTGTGGTGAATATCGGACCTATAGACTATTTTTAAAACCCTCCTTCAAGATTAAAATAAAATTATTTTCAAACACGAAAAAAGAGAACTGAATTGGAAATTTCAATAAAGCGCAATCATAAAAGGATATCCGCTCTTAATATAATTTTTCATCACTGTTGTGTCATTTACAGGCGTTGATTTCTATTCAATTTTAATCCTATTATCTCTGAATGGCTACCGATATTCAAATTTCAATATGGATTTTAGAATGGAACCTGTTTGGATTTTCGACATCAGTTGAACAGGGATTAACTTCTTACTTTCCCTTGAGAAGATTATTGTCAGATTTATTTTTTCAAATTTAACGGCTCAATTATTTTTGAATTTTTCAAAAACCGTTAACAGTTTTAAGATTAAGATTAACCTTAAAACGAATCAGATTTGAGCTTTATCTGACTTTTTTGGAATAATAAAATCCATAAAAAATCTCGATACAGCTCAATATCCAACAAAATTGACAGCGCGTTTGTATTAAACTGCTCTAAGCTACACAGAATATTTTATTGCTTATGTAAATGAATTGCTATGAATAAATATCACATTTTGACTTCTGTTTAGCTTCTACTTCATGCTGATTATCACTTTTTTATTATTAAATAATAATTTTATTTCTCACAGTCTTCTTCCGCGGGATATTGGGAACGAGAAGCAGAAATTATTTTTTTTTCTTTCCTTAAACATCGGGGAAGATTATGGAAATTTTCTATGCGCCAATAAATATTTACATCTTGGAGCAGGAGGCAGACGAAAAAAATCTATGTAATTAAATTTAACGATTTCATGGAACCGACTATTTTATACTTCCAATTCACATTAATGGCCTTGTTTGAACTTCATATTCATTGAATTTTGAGACATTCTCGTGCCTGGATATGTGGTTTACAATTAATGTATGGATATTTTATGAAATAAGTGTTGTAGCTGTCCAGAGAATACACGGAAGGCATTTTCTTCTTCAAATTTGAGATCAGCACTTTCTTGACTTTAGTTTCGTGTGCAGAAGATTGACTTTATACTTAATATCAGCACGAATGTGTACTAAAATGTTTACGTACTTGAATAATAATCTCTAAACAGACAGTTGCTTAAATATTCATGTTAAAGTCGATTTGGAAAGTTCTCAAAATATAAAGCTGGGAAATCTAAGAAATTTTGCAAGGTATAAAGCTACACCATCGATTGTTCTGCCATAAGTTCATTGTCTATTAATTCCATTATGAGAAATTTCAGTTGATCTTGAACTTCTGTTTTTTGCCCTTGAACTTTCCATATAAAGGACTAATTGATCACTATGTGGGTATAATCGTGGCTATAATGTTACCATAATTATGAATTTCAATAGAATCTTTTTTGATAATGAACACGGCAACTTGTTCCTATATATTTTGGAAATAAATTATTATTCAAGGTTACTTTCACTTTAATGCTTCTATTTTTAAACAATTTCAATGGCAAGGAAACAAATTAGTGCTTTGATTTTACGTGTTTGGGATATATCCTAATCGGAAATATGATAATGTCAACCTTTTGTTTCCTTATCATAGTGATTTGTCACTTATTTTAAAGGTGATTTGGGCAGGTTTGGTATTATACTCTGTTACTAAACCTGATTAATTTGATTTATATTTTTTTTTTCGATAAGAGGCCGTTCATATATGACGTCCAGGGGGGGGGGGGCAGCAAGAACAGAAAATCCAATCTTCTTTTTTGATAAATGACCGTTGATTTTGGACGTCATAAGTGAACTAAGCACAGACAAAATTTAGATTTTATGGGCCTTTATTAAAGATCCAGTAGTAAGTTCGTCAATTTAAAATCTAAATAGAAGCTTTTAGTTTCCTTCAGAATTGATTAAAATAAAAAAATAATTATAAACAATTCGAAATTTTTTTTCCACAAATTTGCCTTTTAAATCAGCTAGAACAGCATCGAATCAAACTTTATCTCAATTTTCTCATAATGTAATTAGACCATAAAAATCATGAATCAGCAGAAATAAAATCTGTCGACCGAATGGGTAGTAAAAACCTACTTATTTTTGTGACTCTGCATATTTCCTCATCATTCAAAATTATCGATTGCGTGGACTTCTTTACATTAACATTATAATCAAAATTGTTTATACAAAAAACTTTTTCATCGACACGACTTTCATATGCTTGATTTTCTGTCCACATCTCTCGCATGGCTACAATCTAAAACACTCTCAATAAGCAAAATTTTTCATTCATGAAGTTCTGGGATGGAAATAAAATGATTTTTATGATTCTCAAGATCAAAAGTCAAAAAAGAAAAAAATCAATTTCATGTTTTTGATCTTCTTCTTTTCATTTTCATCCACATTTCCATTTCCAATGTCAGTATTCATTTAAAATTTACTGTTCGTATAAAATGAATAGCCATAATTAATAGTTTGCAATTATAAATGTCGGGCAGATAAATTGGTTGTACTATAAATTTCCCTTTTCTATTTTATTGCAAAAAGGCATCTGAATTAAGTACTTTATAGCTATTACATGTAGACATATTCACTCTCTTCACTAATTTCTGCTTTGTAAATGCATTTGTGTCGATGCAGTTAATTTTTTAATGTTTGAACCCGAGCGACACAAGGTGCAAGATGTTCTCCACATGGAAGTCAAACGAAGCTTCTGTGCCGCTCGGGTAAAATATTTTAAACGCTGAATGGTAAAATATTGATTTAAAATTTTAATAAGTTGATGCTTGGAAAAAAAGCAATTAAGTTGATTGCAATGTAAAGTGCATTTTGAGGATCTATTAATTGAACCAATGACCGCCTGATTACTAGCCCGTTATTCTAACCACAAAGCCATCAAATCATTGATAAGATGTGATAAACACAATTAAGCATAGACATTTCCGCAAAAATTTAAACCTTACAACTTCTACACACAAAAAAACTAATCAGCATAGCAAATAGACATAAAACCACCATTTTAGAGCCATAATTCTTCTATAAAATAGTCCACGTATCGTAAGTGTGGTAAAGTCAGGAAATAAAAAAACGTAAATGTGACTATCACTTCTTCCTTTATAGAGGATTGTTATTAACATTGTAGTATCCTATGATGTGCCATTGATGATGGCATGTGTAGCCATTCACGATTAGCTCACAGTGGGTTGACAAATTCAACTTGTTTGAATGGGTTTTTATGGTCGTAATGAAATGGAAAGATAAGTGTGAAACTGGGTTTATTTGACTTTCTGTTGTGGACTGTGCTAGGTTGTTCACTTTTAATGGAAGCTTTTTGCAGAGACTGCTGAATTTTTTTAATGCGAATTGAACGCTGTTAGCGGAATGTTAAGTAATTTTGATGAAGAGCCGATACAGATGATTTTTAGTTTATTGTGCTATAGAACAGGTTGGACAAGTGAGTGTATTGAAGGAGTAAGTTCCTGAATACAAAAATTGAATTTCAGCAACCCAAAACATTTCGTTGCTCAATAAGCATATCTATTTTAATTCCCATTAATTATATAAAAACCAATACACCATAAATTATCCACAATCATATCCTTCGACCACATGTTCGCAGTATGCTGCTGAGACAAATCGCAGACATTAACTCTTCTTGTACCCCAGCTAAAATTATATCCTGCAACATTATGGCAGCAAAATGTGTTGAAACTTATTTATTTCCTGTGAAATTGTTGCTGCATTCTAGACACGGAATGGGGATATTTTCGTAATTAAACGTTGCAGAAGAAGCTGAGCGAGAATTATTGATCTTAAGTCCCAATTGGTATTCAGTACAATGAATGTCTTTGAAATATATTTAGATAAATTGCGTGGATGCATGTTATGAAAGCTTTACTGTAAGCAGTCAATGAATAAGCTAGAAAGGTTTATGTTTGGTGCAAAATAAAGTTCCATCATCCGAAAAATAAGAACTTCTTGCCAAAAATATTTAAATTTATGCGTCTTCTAGTTCGGCAGCTTTAGTCATTACATAACATTGCTGTAGTTTGGGAATTATGAAGAATATAAAAGTTTTCAGAATATCATAAAATAATTTAAAGGTTCATCCATGGTTAGACGTCATTTATGAAATTATTCAAATTTCTTGTAAATTTTTGACGAATTCCTTCACGTGTTCAAATGCAAATTCAATCACACAATCCTCAACGCAATTTTCCAACTTCTTTTTCTTAACACATTCTGTGAACTTTTCACATATTTTAAACAATTTCTAAAATAAATTCCGTCTCAAAACATGAATTTCATTTTCCATCCATTAAGTTCGCACATCAGACACGATGATAAGTGAAAATGTGTCGCTTTGAATTTTTATCACAACATTTTTTTTTGTCTTTTCTTTGAAAGCTTCCATTTAATTTATTTTTTTTTTGTTTTGACAGCACACAAATAAATTGAAGGAGGCGTTTGACCTGGCTTAAAATGTAGGTTTCCGCATGTTTTCAGATTTTAAATTACTGTGAAAATTTCAAGAATTAAATCTGAATTTTATGAGCATTCAAAAGTTTCAACATCCACAATTTTTAATATCAGCTTGCGGTTTTATTCGTAATGTCCTTAAGCTTAAGTTTTAAGACACATCAAGTTATTTGTGTGCTATTTTGCAGGTTCTTACATTTATAATTTAAGTATTTATCCACTAAATATTATTTTATCCACAAATATTTGAGCTTCATGCACTAAACATTAATTTCTGCATTTAAATTATTTTTTCTACACATTTGATTCCTTTTAAAGCTTTTAAGTGCTACACAAATTTTCTTTTTATTTAATTTCTTTTTATTTTCCTGTCCCGATTTTCTCAAGTTTATATTTCCGATCGACAAACGATAAAAGACTGCAAGAAATTCACATCGTTTCGATCAATTTATCTTAACCTTATAAAAAAGCAGCTATACTCATTGGAAGTCAGAATTTTCCTAATGCATTTTCCAGTGAGAGAAAAAACGTGAAATTTTCATTTCTACAGCATTTTATTTTGCCGCTTCCAGAAAGAGAATGAGAGTAAAGATAATAAGGTGATTGTACTTTATGGTTATGAATGAAATTGTAGATTTTTTGAAGGTAAGAGAACACATGCATTTGTGGACGTTTGAATGCTTACTAGAATTTAAATGTTAACTCGAATCTATAATATTGTTGATGAACATTGATGATTTAATTGAATTTTAAGTTCAGCAACTTGCATGAAGACAAGGAACTGCTTCTCCTGTATTTTAATATTCATTTAAAATTTAATATTCATACAACTAAGTCAAACCTGAAATATTCACTTGAAAACAAGCAACGCTCAACCTACAAGCATAGCTACACAACTCCATCGTAGTCAGAGCTTCAAAATTTCTAAGAATGATAAACAATAATCGACATTTTTTAAATTTATTTATTTTATTTTTAGAAATTGTATTAAGAAGATGAGCTCCCGCACAAGCCAATAAATGTTTTACGTTGCTATCACACCAAAGCCATATTGTCATTTGAGAATTGAAATTCGACATAAAAACATCATCATTAATCTTCTGTTGAAGTTTCCTGTAAAAATGTCAAGGAAAGAATTTTTTTGTAGGTTGTTACAGGTGGGCTTGAGAATTGTCTTGAATGTTTTGCATACAATTTAAAGTCATAATGTCACAATACTCAAATGTAACTTGTAGATCAAAATAGTTTCCAAACAAAGCAGAGTCGCTCTTTAATTAAAATATGTTTTATGTCTGTGATTGAAGTTTGGCAAATTGCCATCATACTAGCCACAAAATGAAGTCGTCATAAAATTACAAAACACTTTTATTTCAAAATTAACATTCAGTCACCAAAACATCAATAAACAAGCTAAGAAATTAACTTTTTGTTGGATGTGTAACATGATCCCACACATCCACCTGATTAATTTTCTCTCAACATCAAAACATGTGTTAACATCCAAATTAATTTAGTCAATTAACAACTGTACCAACTGCTATGCTTGTTGTTCGTACTCAATACATGAATTATTAAAGAAGAATCAATCAACATGAAGTTTATTAGTCATTAAAGCTGTTTCCAAGTTTCCCTTTAATCATTTCACCAAACTCTTGTGCTCCTTCGTCACATTCCTTTATTCCTTCATATTTTTTCATTCTTTGGTACCATTGACTTATGCATGGGAATTTCGAGATGGCGTATCCAAAATGCTAGAAAAAAAATTGAATAAATTTTACATCCATTTTGTCCATAACACTCAACCACAAATCCTTATCCATTAACCCTGACCTCTAACATGATTTATATCCAAAAGCATAAAAAAACTTTCTTATTAAATAATAAATATGCTTACCACTAATGTACAAACAGATGCGAAATAAGCAAAATCACAAATGGTTATGCTATTACCGGTCATATAGTCATGTCCTTCGAGGAAACTCTACAAAAAATTAGGAAATAAGATTAATGTACTATTGATTTATAATTAATTGAGGCAAATTTTATGCGCTATAAATCTTCAATTCGCTTTGATTTATGTGAGGTTAATTGGTCATTGCAAGACGTTGTTGCATTGCCTACATAAAGTCTATCGACTAGACATCTATAAACATTTCCGCAGACAACTTATGAGACCCATAAATATTTATACAGACCAATTTCTTCAACCATAAAATCACATACCCAAATATCAAGACATTTGACAGTAAGTCATCAAAACAGCAACCTCAAAATAAGTCTTCTTATTATCACTTCCGTACCTCTAATATTTGTAAAGCTTTCTTCAAATTTTCTTTATGTTGGACAGTTATCATCGGATTGACGCCAGAAAATGCCAAATTGGCAATATCGAGAATCCTCACATATAGCTCAGACGCATCATGGAACAATCGCTGATGAATGACTGCTCTTGTTTTTATACATTTAGGATACAATGAATGTCCAAAACGTTGGCACTTTTCAGCAAGATAAATCATTATTGCCTTGCTCTCCCACAATATGAAGTCATTGTGTCCATCATTGTCAACTAAAGTCGGTACGCAGCATCGTGGCTACAAAAAAAAGATAGAAAATAATGAAAATTGTCATTCAACAAAAGGAACTGGAAATTTACATACATTTATTTTTGTGAATTCGCTTCTCCTGTGCTCACCGGCCAATAAATTGAGTTGCTTTATCTGTGGATGAATAAAAAAAATGGTGATTAGGAATTTGAAATCTAACGTAGATATGTGGGGATTTATATCCATTTTTGGAACGATGGTTCTGAAATTTATTAGCTTTTTTTCTTGAAATGGCATTAAAATTGGAAGTTTATAGCAGAATAATCAGCATGCTAGATAAAAATAATGCAGAATTATTTAAGCAATAAAAGTCAGAAGATTTAAAATTCATGAATCTTCATTTTTTGAGAATAATAAGTAATTTGCACATTAAGAATCCAGAAAATTCTACAGTAAACAGCACTCCCACAGGAACCATGGCATCTGTCGTAAGATAAAGAGGACATGGATTAATGAGAATTTCCATTTTGTCTGTATTTAAAGAGCTCTTCAGTCTTTCCATGAACTAGATTTTTTTTTCACATTCTCACATATCGCTTTTGCATTTAATCCAGTCATTGATAAGCTGTGTAAGTTGATAAACATTTTGATATGCTTCTGATAGAGATTACAGTCAATTCTAACGTGTTACCAAGAGAAAGACGATAGTTGTCATGATCAGAGCATTATAGAACTAGAAATGAGATCCTTAAGTCCTGAAGTCATAGAAGTTCACAAATTTTAGATCAATTTTCATGAAATGCTTCAAGACAGGCTAAAGTCAGTTCTTCCTAACTTTTTATCAAGAAGAATTCAACAATAAATGCTTACGACTAGCAATAAGGCTCTGAATTATTTAATATCATTAAATAAACCCTTTTTATACTTGATCTTCTTTAGGACTATAAATAGTCAAGAAATATGTAACCCATCCATAAATAGACATTAAGTTCTTCTTGTTACGTATAAGCATGACAATATAGAAGCAATCGCTGCTGTGTTACATGAAAAATATTCAGAGAATTTAATACTTTTTTGCATAAGAAAAAGAAGTAAAATTTATATTTGCTGCAGATTCCAAGGATATATGCTGTACATATCCACAGACCTTGAAAACATATTTTCCGCGATAAATACTTAAAAGCACTCGAATTATCATTTCCGATGAATCTTTCGTTAATAATTTATTTTTCTTTATACTTTAAGTAGCATATAGAAGGTACAAGAGCTTTTGTATCCAATCAAAAACCAAGGAACATATTTCGCTCATGAATAATTACTTAAGAAGGTTATTAGTAGCTTGTGTAGGAATCTGTTTGACTGATAATTAATTCAAAAGAATGTAAATAAATTTCCTTAAATGAAATCAAATAAAAAAAATGTTAAAAAAACTTTTTAAAAAACACGCTTTTATCAAAAAGACTAAAAACCAAAAAGATGAAAATAATATAAGATCACACTTTTAGCGAATCAGGATTTTAAAAGTTTTCTTGTGACATCTAGAAATGGAACATAAATTTTTTTCAAAAAATTGTGATTAAATCCAAGAACACAATGACTCTAAAAGCGTGGGGCTTTAAGATTTGACGCTTCTCTTACTTAAGAACTTAGTTGAACTAAGAAATTCATCCTTAAATTACGCCCACGCTTTTAGAGTCATTGTGTTCTTGGACTTAATCACAATTTTTTGAAAAAAATTTATGTTCCATTTCTAGATGTCACAAGAAAACTTTTAAAATCCTGATTCGCTAAAAGTGTGATCTTATATTATTTTCATCTTTTTGGTTTTTAGTCTTTTTGATAAAAGCGTGTTCTTTAAAAAGTTTTTTTAACATTTTTTTTATTTGCTACTTTTTAGTCTCAATCTTTTAATCGAATATCGACCACAACAATTCAAATTCAACTCCACTTCGTTTTACTCCGTTTTGTTCAACTGTTTATAGATTACATTTGTTCATTCATTTGTTTTATAGAATTTAAGTCATACCTGGAAACAGATGAAACTTCTTAAAAAATATCCTGAACTTCAATTATGTGCGCTTTCTGTGCTTTTAAAGCATTCATTAGTAAAGGACATTAAAAATGAATCTTGGAGATTTTGTGTTTATCTGTACCATTCCTACTACATAACGTGTGGATTCTTAACATAAAGATGCAACTCACATCTATATGTAACGTATTTATAACGGATTTTTCAAATTTAATTCAATGAATGTCATTTGTATGTTATGCAAATATACTTCAAGCCGTTAATAAATAGAAAAGTAAATTTAATTAAGTTGGTGAAGTTTTATAAATAATATAATACATTAAAAACAGCATAAATTTATGCTCAAACTATGTGTGCTAAATGCACATCGCATATTGATAGTTATTTTGCATTAATTCGTAACGGACTTGTGCTTAACGGTTTTTTTGAAAATTCAAATTTTCACTTACGAATATTCATGAAAAAATTACATGTCAATTTTTTTTTCTTACCAGAATATCTTTAGCTGCTCAAATTTATAGTATAATTAATATTTAGTAATATTAATTAAACTATAATGAATCATATAAATGACTTTTGAGCATTTCAAGTATAATATTTTAAACAAATCAAAATTTTATATCATTGACATTGGATTGTTTTCCCATATAAAAAAGTTTTACTTAAATTGTACTATTATTAAGCATTTTTGTGGTTTCAAAGTGTTAAAATATTGTATTGTCACCGGGAATACGTGTGAATAAAAAATTTGAGCTCGATTGGAGCAGCAGAAGTGGTCGAAAAATCGATTGCAAGTTTTGAACGTGACAAAGAAACCAACAGACAGAGCAACTCAATAAAAAGCGTGTAAAAATGAACTTGATTGCTTTAAATGAGAAGCAAGGAACTTTTATGAAATCATAAACTTAACTGTAAAATTTGTTCCCACCTCAATATCAATGCTCAAATTTCTCACAACAAGAAGAACAGCTCGGCTCGGTGTACTCATGCTAGCAACATATCTATAAATAAATAAAATTTAAACAACTTTAAAGTTCCCACACAAACTTTAAATAATTTAATCCTTACAACGTCATCGGTGTCATTATTGCTTAGTTTCTAAAGACTTATATGCGGAAGGAATAATATGATAAATGTTCTATCAACTTCAAATTATCGAAAACGACTGAGTGTAATTGAGTATTATGTTTCATCATTTATCCAATCGAGCAACAACAAATTGATGAGCTTTCTCATTTCCCCCCTTGCTGTGACATTTCATTATTCATAACATCAAACAATAGTATGAGTATTATCTTGTTGAAGTTGATAAAAATAAAACTCAACTTTGGTATTGATAAAATTTTATTCTCTTTTTATTTTTATTTTAATCCACTGAGAGAGAATTGTGACAATTGATGAACATATATTTTTTGTACCTAATTTATTGAACTGGTTACATTGTTTTGAGAGAGAATAATGAGAGACATAGTAGGTTGTAGTTATTAAAGATTATCTTGAAGGATATTCAAATAGATTTGGTAGATTTTTGGCTAGATAATCCAAATTAGGTTAAGTTTCAAATAAGTTTCTATTAGAGTTCCAAAAGGAGAGGAGATAACGTTTTCTAGGATTCTTTAGTTTAACTCATATTCCAGGCCAATGTTAGCAAAGAGAACAGAGTCCGTTAAGGACTTCGAAGATTCGATTTTCGAAAAATAAGAACCTCAAAAATTCGAAGTTCGAATAATAAGAACTCAAAAATTTCTGTTTGCTAGCATTGGATTCCAGGATCAAGAATACTTAATTTTATAGCTTTTTTAACTCGAGTTCCAAATATAGAACCTCCTACGAACCCCAAAATAAATTAATTATTGCATTCAATATAAAAACAATTTAGTCAACTTCCTTAAAAATAGAAACATAAATCCAAAAAGCTTTAATAAAAAGCTCATTAAGTAAACCGTAATCTAGTCAGAAAACTACCAAAATATCGTCTCTAAGTTTAATAAGTTATGAGCTTCGATGAATCTAATAGATTATTTGCATGACACTCACGAGTTAGACATAATTTCCAATGAGTTGATTATCGCAAGCAGCTATCTTGAGTCGTTAATGACTATTGAAATAATGATAAAAATCATAAAAGTGAAATTAATGAATATTTACGAGAGTTTTAGTAATTTATTGGCATTTGAAACTGGTAGAAGTAAAGGCTGAGAGTAGAATTAGAGGAACTGAGCTCTAATTTGATTCAAATACAGACAAAATCTAGAATAACTTCATTTAATCTCTAATTGTATATTAAGTCTTGTTCTGAATTCTTTCAACTCATGAAGATGATAACATCAGGCTCAACACTCTCCAGAGTCAAACTCAGTTCTCAAATTACGAAACCTTTAAAAACTTATACTTAAAAAACCTTTCATGATTCTCAATGACTATTTACCTTAAAAAATAAGAATTTCTTCTTAATGCACGAACCTTTTCGTACCAAAAGTACAATTAATGAAGAAGAACTTTTAATCTCAGCCCTTTGCTTTGAGATGCTATTTTTTTCTCTCAAGCTTTGTTACAGAATTTTTGCACACCTTTCAGTGCCTTTTTCAATTTTCAGATTGGCTCTTGCCACGAATGAATAAATAATGAATTTTTTGTCTCATTTTGATCTTTTTGGAAATTAAAAGCCAATTTTATCCTGACAAATTATTAAGGGTTGCTGTTTTGATGAAAAGTATTTAGACACTTTTGTATTATAGTCATGCAAACGACATTTAAGGGATCGTTCACTTATGACGTCCGAGATTAACGGTCATTTTTCAAAAAAGAACAATGGATTTCCAGAAATTTCTATTGTTATTTTCTTGCCGCCCCCCCCCCCTGGACGTCATAAATGAACGGCCCCTAAGTAAGTGCCCATCGAAATTGTCTGTTGTGCCTTTTTAATTAATATTTATCATTTATATCATTTACTAAGCAAGAATTTTTATAGTTTCTTTTCCTTTTAATAAGACAGGATATGTTGAGAGTCACAGTAAAGACTCAACTTAGCCAGAACAAAAAAAGCTTCTGTTACTGAAATTTTTAAATCATAAATATTCTTTTGAAAGTTAATATAGATTAAAATGTACCATAACTGTGCCTATATCTGCAAGAACTTACAAAGTCCTTGGGCAAATCATTTTATGAGGCTTTCCATAAAACTCAACAGAGTTAATCTCACTCAAAATAATAAGATTTTGAAAATTCTTCTTTCGACTCCTCACAACCTTCGTTCTTTGGAAGAAATTACATACAAGAGAGTCACGTATAACTCTATCTGATATCAGAAAAAAGAAGCTTCCACATTAAAGTCAGTCCATTAAAAAAGAAGAAGAAAAATCGATTTCGCAAAAAAAACTAAAAATGCTGAACGAAATTAAGAAATAAGGAGAATCATCTTTAATTGCCACGTAAAAGAACTTTTATGAGCTACATAAAGTTATTTATATGACTCTCACATCCCACTAATGTCTCTCAAGATTATCATTTCTATTTAAAATGGCTCTGTTAATTTACTTTTTAAGAACATTGCAAACATCTTTGCACCTTTTTCATTCTCATCGGCTCCTGGCAATTCCTTACAACGTTCATACCAAGCAGAAACGTTTGGATAATCAGCTAAATCCAGTCCAATATGGTAGATAGTCGAGAAATTAGCAAGAATTGACAAGTCTGCAATGCTGACATTGTCGGATGCTGAAAACCACTCGTATCCATCGAGGAATGACTCGAGGGTATTCAAGACGGATAAAATTTTGTCTTTATGCTCTTGCTGAATGACAGTCTCGCCCTTTCGCATTATGGGAACCTGTAAAATTACATTTAAATTGGAATTAATGATTATAAATGTTTCAAGACGAGGATGTAATTGAAAAGGATTATAATGGCTTTTGGTGATAATTTCTGTGGAATTTAAATTATTAACGTCTGAAAATATAAAAAGGAAGGTTAAAGCATTTTCATGTTCACCACAATGATCTCAATTAATTCTTATCAAAAATTCAAGGCTTTCACAATTTTCCAACAAAAAAATTCTCTAAGAAACTTCCACAATCTCCCCATTAAAGCACATTAATCCACAGCTAAAAGCCACCAAAATCCACTCATAAATTTTCCACATAATCAATTTTCTCTTTCCGCCCTCCCACACCATAAAACCATAAAACACTTAACTTACCAAAGCTCCAGTTAAAGCGCTCGTGAATGTCGAGGCATCGTAGAACAAGCGTTGATCGATAATGTATCTAGCCTTAATGTCATCAGTTGGGTAAAGAGAATTATCAGGACTTTTGGCATTAACCAAATAGCAACAAATTGCCCTGGATTCATTCATTGCGAAGTCATCATCAACAACAACTGGAACTGTTCCCTGCGGATTTATCTTCAAGAATTCATCTGACTTATTTTCACCGGCCATCATGTTGATAACTTTACGCTAATGTAAGAAGAAATTGTCATGTCATTCATAAGAATTTTACAAGTCATCATGATGTAGACGTAAAAATATTCACTCACTTCAAATTCCAGCCCCAAATTCCTGAGGGTGAGCAAAACTGCTCGGCTCGGTGGTGAAGCTTTTGGGTCATGAACATGAAATTTTTATTTATTTTACGGTATCGATTTTCTTACCTGGGGAGTAATACAAGGTCATAGACATATTTCACGCAAGTGACAAGTTTAAGTGTCTGAAACAAACTAAAAAAGCTACTGTAATGGTAATGGATTTTATAGCCAGAGCAGAATATTTTCTGCCTTAGAAGGTTAAGCATGTTTATTGAGAAGATGAGCAGCTTTTCTTTTTTTTGTCTGTCAGAAATCATTCGTGTGGTTTATGATTTAATTGATTGAGGAACATACAAGCATCTTATAATATTCCTAATCCAGAAGCGCTTTAAAATATCTAATCAGCAATTCCTTACTTTTTAGTAAAAATCCATCAAGAACCATTGAATTATGGACATATATTTATTCTCATTCAATATTTGCCTTGTGTTGGTTGGATAGAACGAAAGAAAGTTCTACTGGCTCTCATACGCAAGAGTGGAACTATTTTGCATTTTTTATGCATAGTCATGGTGATGGAATACATTGAAGGCTCTCTTGATGATGTGAAAAAAATCCACTTAGGCTTTGTGAATTTGCAATATATGATGAAATAGAACGATAACCATGAATTGTTGAAAATCAGTCATCCAGTAAACGTAGAGGAAGCATATTGGATACACAAAAGACTGATGATGAGATGTGTTTGGGAATTCAGATTGAATTTTTCGCATTCTTGGCTCTTGAAACTTATCTAATAATTTTTTTCATAAATGCATGCGACTGAAATTTACAGCATTGTCTATTTACAGCTTTAAAGTCTCATTCTGACATTCAAAAGCCTTTCTATTGTAGAAAGTTAAAACAAAAGTCATTATCGCTTTAAACTTTTTAAAAAGCTCTGTAATTAATTAAAAATTTAAACTTATAAGCGTGCTTGCTACAGATTCATATTTATCATTAGCATGTACATTCACGTGTATTGACTTATCTATTATTAATAAACACATTTCATTAGTGTAATGAAAATTATGAAGCGTTTTAATTGTAAGCTTCAATGTTATGTCATTAAATTATTGCCTCGTCACTACATAAATGGAAATGTAAGGTTTATAATTCCTACCAACAATGGAAGTAATAACAATAAGAATATCTCATCATCAAAATCGTTCTAATAGCGTTAGTCATAATAATTTCAATATTAATCGTCATTATTACACTAGCTTGACTTCATGAAAATAATCGAATATGATGTAATGACCTTGACTGGTTGTGTGTGCATGAATTACATGAAATAATGATTATGTAGGGTTTTATTTGAATAATTCTGTTTTTTTGAATATGTCAAGTGTCCTGTAGAGTCACGTGCTTTCATCACAGAGCAGCTCAATGATCAAACTATACAGCATCATGAACATGAACTTGATTTTGCTCATACACATTATACAAGCTGTTGCTAATAAAGCATGTGTACTTACTTGCCTCCTGTGTGAAACTTTTAGAGAGTAAACAACTTATTAAGATCTTTAATAGATTATTTTTAATCATTCAGGGACAATTTTACTTAAATGAAGGAAATAGAAAGGTGCTAGACCTGTTTTGATCTCATTTTATTTTCAAAAAATTGTTGACAATGGCTTACAAAAAGGTTTATTTTTCCTTCCAAAAACCTTTTAAAATAAAATATCAAGTTTCAAATTTGAAAGTCAAGCTATCAAATGATATCCATCAAAAATTGAGATTTACATAGCTCCAAACATCCATTCAGTAGTCAATTTATTTCAAAGGTGCAAGCTTAACTCCAAGCTGTTTAAGTAATGGACCGACCATTTTAGCACCGTTTAAGTTTTCTTCATATCCAGGAATACTTGCGCATCTCTTGTACCAAGCTTCTAATTTTGGCCAGTTTCCAATTTCACCAGATATGTCAGTGAGAGTTGGTTCACTGCCTGCAAAGTATGATTTTTCATTCAAAAAGTTCTCTAAATGTTGCAAGACTTGATGGAATTTTTTGCGATCCTCGACAGAAACTTCTTTTACGCCATCAAAGTACAATGGACGCTGTATGGATGGATCAAAAATGAGGATGAATTTGAGAATTCAACAAATTCAGGATCTGCTTACCTTGAAGCAAAGATTAGAGAAAACAAATTTGATGCATTAAAGTACAATTTAGTGTCTACTATTGCTCTCTGCTTTGGATTGCTTGGATACAAAGTGCTTCCAGGCTTTTTTGAGTTTACGAGATATGCCATAATAGCTCTTGATTCAGTAAGTATAAAGCCATCATTATCAAGTACAGGAACTTGACCCATTGGATTGATTTTCATATATTCGGGACTTTTCTGCTCAAGTTTAAGAAAATCAACTGGAATAATTTCGACATCCATTCCCACTTCGTGAAGGTGGACTGTAAAGATCCATTTTCAATTAAAATCATGTCAGCTTCATGACCTAGCACAACATACCTAGCCGGCACATGATACAGCTTCATTTTTCAAGCGTTAAATTTACTTCTTTTTTTCTGATGTGCGAATTCAATCAACAGTTTCAATCAACTGGAGGGGAACTCAAATTGTCTACATTCATTTATATCGTAATTTTTTCTCAAACCTACATATGCGTGCGAATCTCTTAATGCATTTTTGTGTCATAGTATGAGCAAAAATTCATTAAATAATGCTGCGTTTGCTTTTGTATTTTCGTTGTCAGTCTATGCTGAAATCGATATTCGATATCTTAAAAATTTATTTAGTATGGCTGTATTGCTGTTTTTATGAGGTGATTTTATAGCATGCATGCAGTTTTTTTAAATTTTATTAGAAGTTGAAAAAATGGTAAGGCTGAGAATTATCGTCAAAATCAGCAGATATGGCATAGTTATGATCTGAAAGGGTTCATCCAGCATCAGTTCTACAACTTTAATAAATAAAATATAAAACACAAATGAGTTTCACAGCCTTGCTGTAAAAGAAACAGTAGTATCACATTGAAAAACATACGCGGATACATAATATGAGACATTCGTTCTTTGCTGTAAAAGCACAACATTCCATGATAAATTTTTTATGGTACAAATACTGTAAGCTCGTATTCATTCAATCTCTTATTGATTTTCAATCCAAACCTAAACTGTTAGCAGTGAGTTATATTAAATTATGCATGCATTCTATAGAAATGTATGTCAAACTTCCGCTGATATGAGAAATTGAAAGACTCTTCTGGGTTACACTATGGCAAAAATGACAGATCTGACTGGAAGTTGATGGAAATTATTGACAGGAAATGAAATCAAAAACTATGAACAAATCTTTATATAATCAAAAATTCATTGACTACATCTGCTTTTTATTTAATCTTTAATGTCCTAAAACACATCCTTTATCAATTCCGAAATACAAACAAATTGTGACATGGAAGAAATTCCCTCAATGACTTCAGCAATTGTCAATCGAAAAAAATTACAGAATCAACCGATACTTTATAAAATCATCTCACTTGATTACGGTCTGAAAAGGTTTTCATCAGCATCACATCCAGTCAATATTTACACTTCATCAATTGGCGATTTCTTTAAATAAAATCCTTTGATTTTGCTGTCGTGTCATGTCATTTCCAATTCATGTCATTCTGATTTTACAATTAAATTTTATAGCAAGCATTAAGCCAAAATGATCACTTTATAAACGTTTATAAGGAAATTTGTTTATTAAAAGTTGAAGAATGCGAATAGAACTGACATTGAACATGAAATTGCGTTAAAATGGATGAAATGATGCTTTCCTGGTGTACATTTAATAAAAACATAAATGAACTTTTTTCTGACTTAAGAACAATTTTTGAATCATTTACTGCCAACAATTATCAGCAGCAACCCACTCAGAAATGCAAAGAAAAACTTTTAATCTAATTTTAATCCATAAGAATCGCGAAAATTCGAGTAAAGTCAACAAGTAATATTGAGTTCATTACACACAACAAAAAGCAATTTAAGCTCTGAATAATTAATCTTTTATGAGCTTTATGGGGAGGATTAACGAACAATAGAAGTGCTTAAAATAAAAGAAGATAAGAAGAACACAGCATTTTAATCTTCTTGATCTCAATTTCGTTCCTTTGATTATAAGTCTTACATTGTGTAAAATAAAAAGAAAAGATCGCTTTTTCGTTGCCTTATTCATTTTTAGAAACAATGGAAATGATTGCAGGTAGAAAATAAATTTTTATTAATTTAGGCGCATTCCTGAATTCTCAGCTTTAAACTTTCTCATCATAATTATTTCTATCAAATCGTATCCTTTAAAAATGATTGCTGGTCAGACAAATCTACACAAAGCCTTACTCATCACTGAAAATTAATGTAAGCGGCAAGTGAATGAAACTAAGCTTTCTTTTTCTTTTCATCACAAATTCAAAGCAACTCTTCTTGTTCCTCTTTTGATGTTTGTAAATGTTTGTACCTTTTTGCGATTAAAATTAATGGAACATTGCTTCAATGTATTTTTAACAAGACACATGCTACTTTTTACTCCAAATTTCAAAAAAATTTATTTTAAGGTTTACAGAACAGTGAACTGGAGGTTTGTGTGGTACATTTACGCGTGGAATGAAATGTATTGTTAAGGATAATGGTTAATGTGTTGACGTCTTAAGGAACTCATTAAGTAAACTCACAAATTTTATGCCAGAAGCGAAAAGAAGAAATTAAAATCAAGAAGAATTAAAATTTTCAAAGAAAGCTTGAAAACCTTGCTGATAAAAAATGCGGTAAGTTGAGGCTTGTGGTGTGAATTTTTTGAGAATTTTGGAGCTTTTGTTTTGGCAAGTGGCAAATTTTAAACAAAAAAAAATCCTAAAGCTGCCTGACTTTACAGCTAGCAATCAAATAATTATCTCAATAGACAGCATCAAGGACATTTATTTACAACAAACAAAAGTAATCTCTTTCAAGAGCAAACATGCCAGATGATGGAAATAAATTATCAGCTTTAGTCTCAAAGTAATTAAAATTTTAGAGCTGTTGATCATTTAAATGTCCTCGTCTTGTCATTTAACTGTAAATAAGAATTAAATATTCAGCTCAAGTAGGATTTGTTGATCAAAACAAAAACGAGACGTGAATCTGAAATTAATACGGAAAATAAGAATAAACAGCCATTAGCAATAGAAGTCCATGGATTTAGGACAATTAAAAAGAAAATTTGAAGCTGTATTTTATTTCTTATGTCACAAAAGAAAGAAAGTTTATAGCTTTTAAAGCGAAATAGGCGGCAAATTTTTCTTCTTTAGAAGCTCCATCACCATTCGACCTCCTTTATAGTTCTCTTCAAATCCTGTTAATCCTTTGCATCGAGAAAACCACACAGACAAATTTTTATAGCTTTCAATGCGAATGCCAGCACACTGTGGATGAAATAGTCACAATGAAATATGTTTCACGATTAGTTTTTATGGACATCAGAAGTGGAGCTTTTAGCTAATGTAATTAATTTAGAGATTTACTAGAGAGCATCAATGACTTCAAATTCTGAGATTCTTTAAAAATGTCAATTTTTGTTCTAACAACCCCTGAGCCACTCCCTATTTAAAATTAAGAAAAAAACACTCTTCAACTTTTTCTAAACCCCAAACTTCATCAAGCTTAGTACAAACCTCAACAGAACTGTAATATCACAAAATAATCGGAAGTCATGCTCTCATAAAAAATCATATTCCATCAATATGATTATTTACTCAATAAATCATTCACATAAAGCTTTCCAAATGACACACTTACCAAAATAACAATAAGATTCGAAAGAATAGAAAAGTCTGCAATCGTTGGCGACTCACCAGTGAACCAATTCTTGTTGTCAAGAAATCCATTAAGCACGGATAAGACATTTCTGAGAATTTTTTTCTTTTCTTCAGGAATTTTTGGGTCACTGTTGGCAATCATTGGATGCTGATTAAAGGATAGAAAAATATTTTCATGGTAAAGCTTTGGAAAGTCACTTGTAAAGAGTTAGATCTTAATATTTACAAAAGCTTTGTTGGACAAGTATCCTGTTGGAACCAGCAAATGACAAATTTTCATCAAAAAAAAATCTTACAATGTCCAACAACGTCAATCTAACTCCACAAAAGTCCCGAAAGTAAACACACCAGATGAGAATCTACTTATTCTTACCAAAATTTGTACGTGACTATGGAAGACAGTTGTGGCATCAAAGTGTAATCTTTCATCTATTAAAGCTCTTTTGATGGGATCATTCAACGGATACAATGAACTGTTTTCATCTCTTGATGCTACAAGATAAGCTATTATTGCTCTTGATTCTGTCAAAATAAAACCATCGTCTTCAACAAGAACTGGAACTTGCCCGGCTGGATTAAGCTTCAAAAACTCTTCATTCTTGTTCTCACCACGTGAAAAATTCACATGAATAAGCTCAACTTCAATGTTGAGATTACGGATTGTCATTAAAGCTGTTCTGATAAGAAAGGTATTGAATAAAAGCTGCTGAAACGGAAGGATTAGATGAACTTTTTTGTGGTTATACCTTGATTGAGGTAAAATGTCAGCATAATAAAGCTTCATGGTTGAAAAATCAATTAAAATTTGATTAACAGCACTTAATTGTTCATAAATCACTCTTGGATATGAAAAATGTCAGTTACATTTATCACCTTTCCCTAGCTAATGAAATTTTGCGTAAAGTAATTAATTTTGAATGATGTCGTATGGAATGTCTGCAAGAACTGAACTGAAAACTTTTCATTATCAAAACTTCAATTTGTTTTGGGATTGATATCATTGATAATGTTTCGGGTAGCTTTATCATGGTGATTAGGCCCTTGCGAGAGTCTCGTTAGATTTTTGAAGGGTGCCTTACAGAGCTGCGAAACAGGCACCTGTGACAGGTGAGAACCCTACAATTCCTTGATAATTTATAAGGTTTTTCTAACAAAACCATACAAATTAACAAGGAATTGAAAGGTTCTCACCTGTCACAGGTGACCTGTTTCGCAACTCTGGTGCCTTACATCTGGATCTTGTTCAAGGAAGCAGTTTTCAAGAAGAAATAAAAAATTTGGCTGAAAAAATCTTAAGACAGTCACTTTTTGCTCAAAACAGCTACATTTATTGATTCTTTCTTCTTTTCGACACCACTGCTTTGACATTCATTACCTTATCTGACAAATGATGGGTATTAAGTCAAAATATACTGATAAAAGCGTTTTGATTGATCTAACAGATGTGTCTCACAATTTATCATCCATTATACTGAACAATCTTTCTGCTAGGCTGTTTGCGCCATTTACATTCTCTTCAAAATTTGGCAACGACGATTCAAGGTGTTGATACCATGCATTGAGTTTTGGATGTTTGGTTAAATCGTATCCAAGTGCCTGATGAGAAAAATAAATTATAGATTCCGAAATTTTCAATTTAATCCTCACCTTAATCGTGGTGATTGTCGGAACAATGGAAATATCAGCTATGGTCAATGCATTGCCGGCAAACCAGCTGTTTTGATTGAGAAAACTTTCCAATACATTCAACGTGTTGATCAAATTCTCTCTTTGCTTTTCTGGAATCTTCTTGACTCTCTCGTATAATACAGAGACCTAGAAAGAGACATAAATATTTCAATCTCTTGTAACTGTTTTCGGAGAGTAACTTACAATAATTTGTGCACCAGCAGGGAAGACAACAGTAGCGTCGTAATATAATCGTTCATCAATTTTTGCTCTTTTTGCAGCATCAGATGGATATAATGATGAATTTTTATCATACTTACTGACAAGATAGCCCAAAATTGCTCTAGATTCAGTCAAAATTAAATCATCATCGACTAAAACTGGAACTTGATGGCGTGGATTTAATTTTAAAAACTCTTTACTTAAGTGCTCTTGAGCACCTAAATCAATAACTTTTAAGTCAAATTCTAGCTTCATCTTTCTCATAAGAAGCAAAACTCCACGACTTGGTGGTGATCCATGAGCAAAATAAAGCGTAAGCGGCATTTTTACTTCACTTGTTGTAACTTTGAATGTTCTACAAAGACTGCTTATTTCTTGTTTATCTACTTATGACCCTGAAAGAGTCAAGTCTGTATATGCAATGCTCATAAGTCATTGAGAATGAGAGAAAAGAGAATAAATGATTTTTTTCTGGTTTCTGTTGCAAAACATTGAGGTTTCTATTTAGTCAATTTTCATGATTAAATATTTCAAATTCTGCAAATTACTTATTTATTAACACCTACAAATAAGTCACAATCTTCAATGAAAAATACCAAATCATAAAATATTCTCATAAAATTAATTAAACTAGAAGGTCATGCTTGATAATATTTTTTGCGTGTAGGTTGACAAAGTATTTTTGCTATGATGCTTTTCTTTTAGACAATCAAAAAAGTGGAAAGCGCTTAAAGAACGAAATTTGATTTTGAAACATAAAGCAAATTAATTATTTTCGGTCAATTTTTTGGTTCATGTGATTGGACTTGACATGAAATTTGGAAAATGATTGAACTTTAATAACTTGTAGACTCTTACGTTTAAGTTTATGCCTAGAAAATCAAAATCATTTACAATTTAAGTTGTCTTTAAGTTTTTAATTTATTAAATGCTGCCAATTACTCATTTGCTCTCATCTACCCACACAAAATGTTAAAACACTTCAATTAAAGAATCAAAAAAGAAGAATTGCCAAAAAACCTTAAGATAAATCTTGGAAAGGCATGCTCAAATACACCTACTGATAATTAAAAATAATCTTTTAATTGCCAATAATAAAATTTAACATTTTTTTAACTGTTGATTTATTTATTTGGAACTAAGGGAAGGACTTTCGACTTATTTCGTCTCTTTTGTTCCAATTCAAAAACATTCGAATCCATTTAAGATGCAAGAAGAATTTTCAACAAAAATTATTAACATAATTAAATAATAATCTTATTCCTTAAGCTCGTGTCGTTTTCAACCTCCTTGTTCAAAATTCTAATGAAAATGAATTCTGCGACTTGGCTGTACGATAAAGTTTTTCAGTATAATTTCAGTCGGATGTTATTTTTAACTTTATAAAATTTCTTATTCATCCATAAAACATTTGTAAAAACTCAGTCAGTTCTTGGAAATAAGTCAACAAATGAAGTCTTTTAATGATTTAGAAAACCTTTGCATTTTCCACCTCGTGCAACACAATCTCAACAGGAAAACTTATTGCTGAGTAAAGTTAACAAAAAGAAAAAATGCCTTTAAGATCGGAATCTTATAGCTGCCTTCTCAGAAGCTGAATTTTTTAAAATGTTCACAAAAGATTGAGGAAGGAAAACAGCTGAAGCCAAAAATTGGCAATTAAAATTTAATCAAAGGAAATTCTTGAAAATTTCTCAGAGGAGCAAATCTGAAAGTAGCTAAAATTGGAAATAAAGTCTTAGCTTTCTGCTTGACTTTTTATTTATAAAAAATTCTTCAGTAATTTACAATTTTGGTTTCATTCCCAAAGCTTCCAATAGAACTTTGCCTCCAGCTTCATTGATATCATTTCCAGGAATTTTTTGCATTTTTTGGCACCAACTGATTAGCTTTGGAAACTTAGACAGGTCAATTCCAATATCCTGAAATGATTTTTATGAATTTTTAAGAACCTCTGAATCTTATTCATTCACTCAAAACTCACATAAACAGTTGTTACGGTCGGAAACATGGAAATGTCAGCAATTGTCATCTCATTACAGGCAAAGTATTCAGTTTCACTCAAGAATTCTTCCATAGTTTTAAGAACTGGCATAAGGTCTTCAATAGCTTGTTTACGATCGCATTCTGATTTGTTCTTCATATATGCTTGCTAGAAAAATCAACTTATGAGTCATAATGGCATGAATAAGAATATAGATCTTACAAGAATGCTGCTGACTTTAGGGAAGAAAGTTGTTGCATCGAAAAACAATCTTTCATCAACCTTTGCTCTCTTTCTTGGATCCTTTGGATACAATCCACATCCTCCAGGCATCTTAGTATCAACAAGATAAGCCATGATTGCTCTCGATTCACTTAATGTGAAATATCCATGAGCCAAAGCAGGAACTTTCATGACTGGATTAATCTTCTTGTACCAATAACTATTTTGTTCACCTTTAAGAATATTGACGGCATTTAACTCAACTGGAATGTCCAAAACTTTTGTCAATATTATAACTGCTCGAGATGGCAAAGAGCCAATGAAGCAATAAATGTTCAACTTGTCTGTCATGGTGCTAATTGAAAACTGAATGGGTAAAGTAAATTTTTTGTGCTATTTACTGCAATTTTTATTTGAAAAGTTCTTATCAATGTTTAATAAGGATTTTAGGATATTATTAATAAGCTTTATGTTTAAAAATAGATTTTTTATCAAAATTAATTCCAGTTTGTTTAAATATAAATCAATTCAAAGGTTCCCGATGTGCTATTTTTGTAACTTCTTGTTGATTGAGTAGGCAGTAAAAAAGGCATTTATAGTATTTAGATAATGGCAAAACGTGTAGAATGTTTCAAGATAACACAGTTGCACATTTTGAGTAATGGGTTGAAGGAGCTTGGTTTTGTGCTATGTTAAAGTTTAGATTTAATCCCCAACACATCACAAATAACTTTAGCTCCAGCTTTGTTGACATCATTTCCAGGAATATTTTGCATTTTTTTCAACCAATTAAACAATTTTGGATACTCTGTAAGTTCAACGCCTAGATCCTGAAATGAAGGAATTCAAGAGAAGCTGTTACGTTCGGAAATATTGAAATGTCAGCAATTGTCATTCCATTTCCAGCAAAATATTCACTTTTCGATAAAAATTCTTCTAAAGTTTTAACCACAGCTGTCAGTTCCCTAAAAGTTTTTTTGCATTCGGTTTCAGATTTGCCCATTACCCTTGATTGCTAATAAGTTATTTATTGACTGATAAGCACAACTGATAACATCCGCAAAAATTTTAAACTTACAAAAACATTACTGATTTTTGGAAAGACACTTGACCCATCAAAATGCAATCTTTCGTCGATCGCCGCTCTTTTCTTTTCATCTTTTGGATACAAGCTATTACCAGGATGTCTTGTATCAACCAAATAAGCTAAAATTGCTCTTGATTCAGTTAAAATAAAATCTCCATCGATAAGAACGGGAACTTTCTTAGCAGGATTTAATTTCTTATACCATTCACTATGCTGCTCACGTTCATACAAGTTGATAGATCTTAATTCTATTGGAATATTCAACACTTTTGATAATATCACACAAGCTCGAGATGGCATAGAGCCAACAAAATAGTAGAGTGTCAACTTTGCACTCATAATTCCTACTGAGTACTAAATAAGCTATAATTCTTGATGGCTGTAATCTCTTTTTTATCAAACCTTATTTATAAAATTTGTTATCAAAGTAACGAGTAATAACATTCAGAATTGCGACTTGACATACCTGCTTTGATACTTTAACAGTAAACTTTCATGAAAATGTCAGAGTACAAACCCAATAATCCAGGCAACGCTTAGAAATAGATTGTGTACAATCAGCTGATCCAAAAAAATCAAAAAGAATTCACTATAAATATTAAGTGACCTTGACTAATACCAGCAAGAAGTCATTGTGTCTATATTCTTTATATAAAAAAAATTAGTAGATAACATAGTCTCGTGCTGTGAAGAAGTGTCGAAATTTTTTGAATAGTTTAAAATGAACAGCAAATTGATTCTTTACTACCTTAGTGGCTCGATGCCGTCTAGAGCTTGTTATTTACTAATGAAAACCTTGAACCTTGACTTTGAAATTAAGGAAGTTTTCATTCCAAAGAAGGAACATTTCAGTGAAGATTTTGCAAAATTGAATCCATTAAAAAAGATTCCAGTTCTTGTTGATGACGATTATGTTTTGTATGAGTCAAGAGCTATTCTTGCTTATTTAATAAATTCAAGACGTCCGGGAGACTCATTATATCCAATTGATCCTAAAGAACGTGGGAAAGTTGACCAACGACTTTACTATGATGCGTCAGTCTTCTTACCAAATATGCTCTCTGTTATCGTAAGAACTTGATTTTACAAATTCATAAACATTTTACTGAACTTCTATTCTACGTTTAAAGGTTCCAGTGATCGTTCATGATAAGAATGAAGTGTCACAAAATTTGAAGAAACCAATAGAAGAGTCACTGACCGTCCTTGATAATTATCTAAAAGAAAATGAGTTCATAGCCACCAATAACTTGACAATTGCTGATTTCTCAATCGTTCCAAGTGTGACAACAGCTAAGGTATAAGAAATGACAATATATCATATCCAATAATATGACCATAAACATTTTTATTACAGGAGTTTGGATTCGACTTAAGTAAATATCCAAAATTGAGTGCTTGGCATGACAAATTAGAGAAGCTATTGCCAGGATTTGAAGAAAATGTTCATGGAAGTAAAGTTAATGCAGCATCAATGAAAAAACGACTTGATGGAGCAATATTCCAATTTTGAGTTGACAGAAATTTATAGTTTGTCATGTTCTTACTTAATGCTTTTATCAATTTCTTATCGCTAGGTAAATAAAAGAATTGAACTTTCATTAAACATTTATTAACTATAGAATACATTCACCAGCAATGTTTTTAATATAACCAAAAATCAATTCCACGCATTCTTTCACAGTTTCATATCCAGCAACATGTTGCATCCTTTTGAACCATTCTTCCAGATGTGAATATTGAGACCAATTTAACCCCATTTTCTATGAAAAAAAAGGTAAATTTGATTTTTAATGGAATTAAATATTGAAGCTTTACTTACACTTGCTATCGCAACACTTGGCAAAATTGAAAAATCTGCGATGGATATTTCGTTACCAGCAAAGTAATCATTATTGGCAAGAAGACCTTCTAGGACACGAATAACAGCTAGAAAAGCATCTTTTGATTTTTGAGACACTTCCTTCCTTTTTTCAGTTATTATAGGACGCTAAAAGATATTGAATGAAATTCATTCGTTAGACATAATCTTACGTTGCTTACAATCAGCTCCATTAGAATCGGAGACACAACTCCTGCATCATAAAATAGCCTTTGATCAATTAATGCACGCTTCTTTAAATTCTTAGAATAAAGTGAATTATCAGGCTGCAAATTCTCAATCAAGTAACTCATAACTGCTCGTGACTCTGTCAAAACTAGTTCATCATCAATAAAAACTGGAACTCTAAAAATTGGATTGATTTCATTGATATATTGCTCATCATGCGGCTCATGATCTTCAACTTCAATCGATAAGTTCAAGTGCTTTATTAAAAGTAAACAAGACTGTGAGAAAATTGACAAATTTTCATGATAAAGCTTCATAGCTTGCGAGAGAGATAACTTTGTATACAAACACACGAATGAGTACTGAAAATGTTTTATATCGTCCACAAAAAGTCATGATAATTATTATCAAAAAGTCAATTAATTACCATCAAAGATAAGAAATTTATTTGATTGAAAGACAAAAATTTATAAGCCATAAAATATTTTGGCTGTCATAAAAAAAAGTGGCGAATTTTTACAAACTTCCTGACTATGGATTTAGTAATTTGATCTTTAAATCCATGTAGGTTCATTAAGCAGATTCTTTACTCGTTCAGCAATGAATTTAGCGCCGTCCTCATTTTCTTTAGCTCCTGGAAGTTTGCTGCATTTCTCGTACCAAGCATTAAGTTTTGGAAAAACACTCAATTCGGCTCCAAGTGCCTATTATTAGAAAATAATAGAGAATTTCGGCTTTAATCGAGTAAGGAACTTTACCTTAATAGTTGCAACATTTGCCAAAAATCCAAAATCAGCAATTGTCAGCTCGTTACCAGCAAAGTATTCAGAAGTTTGCAGTAAAATTTCCAAGTTTTGCAACAAAGTCTTCAAACCTTCTCTGTGCATTGGTGATACAGTCTTTACTCCTTTTCTGACGATTGGGAACTAGCAAGAAGTTTTTAATTTAATTTAATTCATAAATTGACAAGAATATTGAATAAGTTGCAGCACATGTTAAAGAATATCTGATAAACTTACAATGAAGTTTTTAACAGCAAGTGATGCATTTGTCGCATCAAAAAACAATCTCGATTCAATCAAGGTTTTCTTTCTGATGTCTTTTAACGTATACAGCGGTGATTCAGCAACAGTTGCAAGATAAATCATAATTGCCCTTGCTTCCGTTACAACAAAATCATCATGCACAAGTGTTGGTACTTGATGCATTATATTGAGCTTCAAGAATTCTGGCTTATTCTGATCACCGCCAAAAATGTCAAGGTCACGAATCTCAATGTCAATGTCCAAATTCTTGACGGTTAAATAAGCCATTCTACTTGGTGGACTGAAGATGTTGTGGTAAAGTACTGCATTTAATTTCTTAGACATGATGAAGTTTCTGTTGCTTTTACGTTGACTTTCTGATTAAATTCCAGAGATAAAAACACCTCGTAATGCGATACACCTGAAGATTCTTACTAGACTGAATTCTTACGAGAAAATGAATGTGAATGAGAGAATATTAAAACCGGTTTGCCCAGCGAACCGTGAACTGATGCAAAAATGGGGATTTCCATTGTTTTATTAACCGGTTTTCTCTTCATATCATGGACTAGAATTTACAGAATTACAGACCAAAGTACTTTTTTTTGTAATAAACTGAGATCATAATTTTCGAGGGTCCAATTCGAGCGTGTAACAAACGATCATCCAGCTTTAAACATTGAAAACATTGATAAAACATTCTCAAAGCTCAAAAGCACTTAAAACTTTACTTGAATATCAAAAAACCGTTACACCGTGAGCAATTTGGATGTAACTTTGATATTTTCGAAGCCGTTGAGAAAATCTTCTCTGTTTTCAGTTTTGTATAGAAAAGAAAAGTATTAAAGATACCATATGCTGTATGCAAACATACTTCAGGATTATGATTTGAAAACTAAATAGATTTTACCGATCACTTATTTTATTAAATTAATATCTCATCGTTATACTAGACATGTCTACTTATTGCTCAATAAATTTTCACTATCACCTTAAATTCTACTTTTGCACCATTTGGATTTCCATGAATGCATGCTGAAAGTCAAATTTTAAAAATACTTCCTATGAACAAATTTTATTGCTGCTAAAAAACTTGGCATTTCCAATGTCGTGGCATTCATGAAAATATTCAATTTTGAAGAAAAAAAAACTGTCTATAAATAGTCCAAATTGGATATAACACTTGAAACAGTAATAAATCAACAATCAATTCATATATTCACATTTATCTTGCTGTTCTTTATGACTACTTAATTTTTGCACTGATTATTTTTAAATGAAGTGAAATGAAAAAGGAAAGGAAATGAGAAAGAAAAATTGGTTCCAACAACTATCATGAATCGATAAGAATCAACATTGAATTGATGGATATATCATGTCAGTGGATAAGTGAAAAAATCATTGCATGTTGTAAATCACTTTTCCCTCCGTTTTTCATTCCTTATCCTTATCTGTTCGTCTTACAATGAATTGATTTCGGCTTTATGAATCACAAACATGAAATACGAATTCAGTTGCTCTACATTTCTTCTGTTTCAGTCAGTCTGATTTTATCCATCTACTTCTACGTATCTATGATAGCTACGCTTCTAAACTTTATACTTTTTATGTAGAATTTTGAATGATATGATGAGTCCAATGCGAGAATTTTGATCAACAATGAGAAATGGAAGTGATGTGATAACAAATTACTGTGCACCTTTAATAACTGAAACATTTAAAGATTTTCTTAATTGTTTAAGTTGTTTCAATAATTTGCTTTTTTTACCATCGCCAGCGATTATACCCTCAGCAAGTGAATAAATCTCTTTGACAGTCTCAGCACTTTTAAATCGAGCAATTTGTGGATCTTCATCCTTATTTGCTGTCTTTTTCTTCATTTCTTCTGCTGACATTGGCAATTTTAATTTCCCAATCATTGCAACTTCATCTTTCTTCTCATGCTTTCCATCTATTTCATCCTGTCGATCCTCAAATGATGACAAATCTGATGTCAATTGTCCTTTCAATTTCCTGTCAAATAAAACATTAAGGAACAGTTTTAATAACCTATTATATTCATCACTAGTCTCACCTTTCTTCAGCAACAGTCAATAGATGTTTTTCTTGTGTCAATCGTTCCTGCTCATTTATCTTTCTAGTCCGTAAACTTTCTCTTTCACTTAATAAAAAGTTTTTCAAGTCAATTTCACACTCAGTAAACTTCCTGCTTCTAATTCTTGTCATATCCATAATGTCAGCCTTTTCAGGATCAAAGATATAAAGCGTATGTTCTTCAAGCATTTTTTCTCGTTCCTTTTTCGTTTCAATCTCGTTGACTCTCTCTTCTTCTGCCATTCTCAGTCTATCTCGTTCCCATCGTTTGCCTTGCTTTACAAGTTCCGATGCATTCTTTTGACGAACTGTCATCAATTTCTCTCGTTTACTCATCAATAGAGCATTCGTCTTACTATTAACCATGACAATTGGATGTTCACCAATCTTTTTTGGAACCTTTTCATCTCCTGCATTTCCCATTCGACGAGCTCGTTCCAGTTCCGTCATCTTACGAAAATTAAAATTTTTTAATGACGATTCATTGGATTTAATTGACATTATTTATTATTTTTGTTTTTGGATATGAAAAGCAAATAAGGATGAAATATGAGGAATGAACTTTGCTGTTCTTCGTTGTCGATGAAGTTAGTAAATGTTGTGAGTCATGACGAAAGGGTTTTTAGAATTGAGTTGAAAAGAAGTGAATAATGATGTAGAAAAAATTGAACGACATCAATCAAAAAAGTTATTGCTTGACATTCATTGAGCATTTACGTAAAATGTCTTCGTGTTCCATTTGTTCTTCTTTCTTCTTATCAATAGAAATATAAAAACAAGTTGAACGTAACTGATTCACGTGCTCTAATGTAAAATGAAGGAGGAATATTGGATATGGATATGCTGATACCAGGCAGTTGACGACAATAAAGTACTCAAATAAGTCAATATGTGCTCATTTCATCGAAAATATTTACCAATACAATACTTTGTGACGTGAATAGGATCCTCTCAAGGTCTCTTATGTCTTCTGGTGGATTCAATAACTTTTGTAGTTGTTTCTCCACTTCATCAGCCTGAATTTCGTCGTCAATGATTTTATGTTCAATGAATTGATGATGATATTGGCATGAAAAGGTTAACGGAATCGAAAGAAAAAACAAAAACTGGAAAATCAATCTTACCTCACGTTTGGAGATCCGCTTCAATAAAGTGTCATGATAATCCTCTTGGATTCGCTTCTGAAGATCTAGCATATACTTCCTATCCGTTAATCGAACAATACTAAAATGGAATGGAGAATGAGTCCAATCAGTTCAACGAGTCGACACCAACTAAATTGCAGCAAGGCACGAAACAAACGTCGAAATTTCTCACCTGCTCCCCATCAATCGCTCTAATTTCTGAGCAACCCTCGGTAGGTTGAAGCTAGTGTGTGAGAAAGAAATGGAAGAAGAATTAAAGACTTTAAAATTGTTTTCAACTGCTGCTCTACATTCT